CTGGTTTTTATTTTTTTCAAAGCAACTCTCCTTTTCTCTTTTAATGTCTAGTTTTTTTCAGACCTATGCATTTTAATACTTTTGCTTCCATAAAATTTATTTATGCTTTTGTAAATTTAAATCTCTAAAGACTCAGCCTTCTAACTGGCACTTTTGGTCTCCAGGTCTATCGGTGCAGTTTCTGCTCAGAAACTGGTGAATGTGTTACCAATTTTATGATCCTTTAGTAATTGGGGTTCAAGTTCCAAGTGAACTATGTGTTTACCAAAAATGGTTCTTAAAATTACAGGTGAGATAAGATGTATAAAAAAAATGCAGTGGGAAAACAAGAAGAGACAAGAGTCACCAATGAAGAACTAAGAACAATAGTAGGCACACTACTGGTGAATGATATCATAGAACATCAAGTAACCAAATGGTTTGGTCATCTGGTTAGAATGGAATCAAATTACCCTGCAGCTAGAGTGTACTATATAAGAACAGCAGACTACAAGGCAAGAAGATGCGGACCACAAGGTAGTTTAAAAAAAAAATATAAAAAATACAGAAATGCAATATGATGCTTAACACAACCTAGGAAAGTAAAAAGGAAACTATACATAACTCCTTTCTGCGACACTTTGCAGGACATAAGCAAGACCAAAGAAACATAAGTTCTAATGGTTTTCAGACAGTTGCACAGTGCACAGTGGAAGAGACTGAGACATCACATAATATTCCCAAAGGCAGCAGAGGGTACACTAGTTCTGATCTCGCCTTGGAGCCTCCTACCCAACAGGGAGCATCAGAGATCACCTCATCAGGTAATGTTTTGAAGGACAGTGTGCATACACTAGCCAACCTTCACTGTAGAGATGGCACACACACACACAAATCCCAGTCTAGTAATTTGGACCATACAGTGGGGTTATATATACAGAACAGTTGACAATGTGTTATCCGTCTAGCACAGGTAAAAATACAAGTACAAATTAAGCTCAAATTTAAAATTAAAAGTCTGTGAAACAAGATTTAAATGTAAGTAATCACACACAAACAGATACCAAATCTACTCGAGAACATCTTCCATTAACAAGATCACTAGGTTTAACAATAAAAAAAGAATAATAATTAGCACAGCCAACATTTCTTCACAAAATAAGCACCGAAAAGCACAATCAAGAATCATACAAAATTGTCACAGCACATCGGTTAAGCACCCAGGCACTCTCAAAGCCTAATTACACGGCTATAGGCAGTACACCGGAAAAAAATAGGAGGTTGCCAGGATTTGGCACTAGTCAAGTTGCAACAGGTCTAGCAAGCCAGCAGTGCATTATAACTGTTGCACAGAATTTTACGAGATACCAGCAGCAGAATCTCCCTTGAAATCCAAAGCGATACAAGACAAAGGGAAGAAGAAGAATAGGCACAGGATGCAAAAACAGCCATACAACATTTCAGTCATCGTAACAACACTGTCTCCTTCCATAGTCTAAGCTTAAGCAGAGAGATCTACATATATTTTAGCAGTCCATTTCATACTCTGTTCTATCCTTCCTGTAGGTCTGGGCAAACAAGTCCACACATATCTCCACAATGTCCTTATCACAGAGTACGCTCACATGACAAGAGCTTTAATAGGCTGTCCAACACAGGCCTCATACAAGCTCCCTTACAGAGTACGCTACAATAACAGAGCTCTAACAGGGCTACTAAAAAAAGATCTCCCTCACTGTGTACAATGAAATGACACAGGCCTCATAAAATTTCCCTCAGAGAATATGCTAAAATGCCATAGCTCTAACAGAAGGCAGACTGTCTTCTTGAGACCACAAAATGCCTAATAAAAATTCAAAAGGGATATGCAATCACCAAAACTATGGCAGGCAAACAAACCTGTCTTATTTAACTTCTCTCATGTGCAACTACATCAGGTTGGCAGGTTGTGCTGTGGTTAACAGCTGGGCTGGGATATACAAAATACAACTAACTGACTAACACATGAAACAATCAACTTTCTCACATAAAGAAAAGCCAAGTACTGCAGAAGAAATTATCAATTCCTGAATTCCTGTTCATACCACAGCTACACAACTGAGACCAAGTGGAAAACCAAGCCAATAAACATCCATTATACATTAATTAGCAACAAAATTAACCCATCCAGCAGCACACAAATCAAGTGTCTAATTGACGATTATAGAACAAGCAAAACTGGCATAACATAAAAATATCCTACCCAAGGCTGGTCTACTGTATCTGCTTCTACTGTATCCCCCCCCCCCCCCCCCCCCCCCCCACCAGCATTGGCACTCAATCAAATCACATCCGGTCATCCTACCCTTTGTTATTTTCTTCTTTTCCGGTTTTAGAGAAACACATAACGAATTTATTAGTGACCTGTGGAAAAAACTACATATTTTAAAGTTAGGGATCCCCTCTTGGAGATTTACACTCCCCAAGGAACATTACCAATCCCCTTCTCAAACCCTCTACAGGGATGGTTAGTGATCATCTCTTGGAGGCTTCTAGCTATCAAAGGAATTTTAGCAATCTCCCAGAGAGCAATCACCTCTTGGAGATTTCCACAAGGAACATTGGTGATCACTTCTTGGAGCTTTCCACTGGAAATGTTAGTGATCACCTCTTGGAGCCCTCTACTCCAGAGGGGGAAATTATCGATCACCTCCTGCAGCCACCTACCCCACAAAGAACGGCCAGCAGAGATCACCTCTTGATGCATAATCCAGCAGGAAAAATTAAGGATCACCTCTTGATGCCCTCTAATCCAGCAGGAAAAGTTAATGATCACCTCTTGATGCCCTCTAATCCAGCAGGAAAAATTAAGGATCACCTCTTGATGCCCTCTAATCCAGCAGGAAAAGTTAAGGATCACCTCTTGCAGCTCCCTACCCAACAAAGAGCGGTACTGATCATCACCTCCTGAAGGCCTCTGTTATGTTACAAATGTTGCTACCCATCATCTACAGAAGTTCTTTATACAAGTTGTCCTTTACACATATATTATTTAGATATATTTATCTACCACACGTAAAAATCGCACAAATAGCAAACATCTACATCTTTTGACATTTGCTGTGGGAGATGGAGCATTAGTACATTATTATTAAGCACTTAAAACTAGGCTTAGGACTCTTGAGGGGCTCCTAATGTGTTCTTTGTGTCTGCACTCCTGACAATCAATGTACAATTGTCATCTAAAAAAAGACCCTCTGAAATCTAAACATCATCGCAGTAACACAACTTGGCCCAGGCTGACCTGGACAGATTTGAACATCCCGTACGGCTGGCTGCAGACAGTTGCCAGAACAACCGCTAGTCACTGCATCAGAAACCTGTTGCAGGTCACATGATCAGACAGATGCAGATTACATAAGACGTACAGGTCACATGATCAAAGATGAGGGTTGTGTGATCATACATGCAGGTCACATGAACAGACATGCGGATCACACATGCAGATCTTATAATCAAAGATGTGGGCAAGGTGATCCTACATGCAGGTCACATGATCAGAGATGTGGGTTGGGTGATCATATATGCAGTTCGTATGATCAAAGATGTGGGCTAGGTGATCATACATGCAGGTCACATGATAAGAGTGGATGTGGGTCAAAGATGTGGTGCAAGGTGATTCATTCATGCATATATGCAGAGCTGTGGGGCAGGTGATCAATGACAAAGATGTGGGTTATCATAACATGCAGGTAATAGGTGATCATACATGCAGGTCACATGATCACAAGCAGAAGATATGTCAAAGTGGACTTCAACATTTTTGCAAACTAATCATACATGGACGAGATCATATGACCAAAGATAAATTGTTGCAAGTTAAAATGTGATCATTCATGCAGGTAACATGATCAGAGATGTGTAGGCCATTACCTGAAAATGTTGTGTCATAACAAAAATGTTGTCCATGATCACATGATCGAAGATGTTTGTGGGTGATAAATGTTTGTGGTCATGACATGGAACATGCAGGTAATATGAAAATGTTTGTAGCATAGACCAGATGTTGTAGGCCATGTCATGAAATGGTGGTCATACAAGCAGGTCACATGATCACAAATATGGGACGCATGATCAGACATACAGGTCAAAGTTCAACATTTTTGAGGCCATGACATGAAAAACTAGGTCATGACTGGACGATGCAACAAAATGTCGTCGGCTTATGTAGGTCCAACATGAAAATGCCTGTTCCATGACATAGAATTGTGCTGTAGCTTATGAAAATGTTGTAGGCCATGAACATGAAAATGTTGAGGTCATGACATGAAAAACGTTGTAGGCCGTATGACATGGAAAATGCTGAAAATGCTGTAGGTCATGACATGAAAATGTTGTAGGTCATGACATGAAAATGTTGTAGGTCATGACATGAAAATGCTGTAGGTCGTGACATGAAAATGTTGTAGGTCATGACATGAAAATGCTGTAGGTCATGACATGAAAATGTTGTAGGTCATGACATGAAAATGTTGTAGGTCATGACATGAAAATGTTGTAGGTCATGACATGAAAATGTTCCTGATATACCATCAAAATGTTGCCGGTCATGACCAGCCAAAGATTGCCAGTCATACATTATCACGCCCTGATGTTGCCAATCATAACCACGACCACAATGTTTCCAGTCATAACCACCAAAATTATGTAAAACATTAGCAACAGATGCTGCAGGTCATACACTTTTAAAATGTTGCCAGTCATAACTGCCAAAATGTTGCCAGTCACAACTGCCAAAATGTTGCCAGTCATAACCGCCAAAAATGTTGCCAGTCATAACTGCCAAAATGTTGCCGGTCATAACCACCACAAAGTTTCAGGTCACACTGTATCTCTCTAACAGAAGGGGCAGGTGACACATTATCAAAAAATCCCCAACCCAGCCAACAAAACGTCACAGGCCGCATTATCAAACATCATATCATACTGAAGGCTACATCACAAACTGTCACATTCTAACATCACTAAACCTTCAGCCACTCTCAGGAGGCTTCCGGCTCATCATTTTCTCGTAGCCAGGCGAAGAACTGGGTTAATTGTAAGGAACAGGCACCTTTCCCCTCTGCTTCTTGAGGATCAGTGCTCTTCTCCCATTGTTTGAAAGTCTCCTCACCAATTACTTCCTCGTCATACAGTGTGTTGAAGATTTGGGCTATTACACCTGAAAAGAATGAACAGACAACTGCTAAACACTGTCATCAAATGCAACCAATCAAGATATGACACTGACATCAAACGCAACAAATCAAGATATGACACAGACGTCAAACCCAACCAATGAAGATATGACACTGACATCAAATGCAACCAATCAAGATATGACACTGACATCAAATGCAACCAATAAAGATATGACACTGACATCAAACCCAACCAATTAAGATATGACACTGACATCAAACCCAACCAATCAAGGTATGACACTGACGTCAAATGCAACCAATCAAGGTATGACACTGACATCAAATGCAACCAATCAAGATATGACACTGACATCAAATGCAATCAATCAAGATATGACACTGACATCAAATGCAACCAATCAAGATATGACACTGACATCAAACGCAACCAATCAAGATATGACACTGACACCAAATGCAACCAATTAAGATACCACACTGACATCAAACACAACCAATCAAGATATGACACTGACATCAAACGTAACCAATCAAGATATGACACTGACATCAAATCCAACCAATCAAGATATGACACTGACATCAAATCCAACCAATCAAGATATGACACTGACATCAAATCCAACCAATCAAGGTATGACACTGACATCAAACGCAACCAATCAAGATATGACACTGACATCAAACCTAACCAATCAAGATATGACACTGACATCAAACGCAACCAATCAAGATATGACACTGACATCAAACGCGACCAATCAAGATATGCACAGGAAACCAACAACTCAAGCAAGTAAAAGACTACAAGTATCTTGCAATGGAAAAATGAAAAAAGAGACAGAACATAGATGTAATAATGCAAATCAAACTATTGGACAGATGCCACCAATACAAACATGCGACAACTGACACCAAAAGAGCAATAGACAATAAAGTATTTTTTTAACCAGCATTATGTTATCAGTGCCAAATGTGGACATTAACCACACGGAAAGGGGAGGGGGGGGGGGGGGGGGGGAAAAAAAAAAAGGGGAGGGGGGGGGGGGGGGAGTATCTACGAAAAACCTTTAATGTTATTAGAAGAGACAGGATCAGAAATGATGATACCAGGAAATAAGTTGGGAAATGGTTCGGACATGTGTCAAAACTACCACCAATAGTGCATTACAGAGACCCATCACAAAGCATCAGATCCAGAGGTTGACCATACAAGCGATAGATAGATGGAATATCTGTGGCCCTAAATACTAGTTTCTATGCAACACATACCAAGGTTGGCACCCAATGCCTCTTCAAAAACTAAAGCTGAAATTCAGAACAGGACTACAGAAGCACCCAAACTGTTCTAACCCTTCAGTGAAATTCTGGGAGAGACAGAAGGATTTTCTGAGTTCTCTTTCTAAGCAACTGGTGATGGTGACAACAGAGGCTAGTAAAATGAAAAAAAAAAAAAAGGCTCATTTCCAAGATGTGGTAGCTAAAAAGATGGCAAGGAGTCGATGAACAATGCCAGGGTAGCTCTTTGATGACCATTATGGAGCAAGCCTCACTAGCGATGAACCCATGTTTTTATATCTGCAGTATATTTTTATATACCATGTTAGAAAGAATTCAAACACACAACAGGAAAGTCGCCCAAGAGCCAGGTGTGCTCACACCCAGAGAAAACCAAGAAGGCTGAGTCGAGTAAGGAAACAACACCATAGCACTTGAGACATTCCTATAAGCACTCCATCCCCATGTTCAGCAGCCACTACTAGGTTCCAATTAGGATGGCACATGTAGCAGTCTGATGGTATGTCTCTCTTGCCTTCTCTCTGAGAGTTGAGTGTCAAGCCCCATGTGACAACACTATTTCTTCTTTTTCTTCACATTCACTGGCTGTAAACTCCGGCAGAAAGTTCTAGATACTCGTCTACCTCTGAACTTTATAGTGGTGTTAAAAACCCAGAGTGTTGTGTGCATTTCTGTTTCAGTTATCTGAATTATCTGTATGCAGACTAGGTTTCTTGCCTCTCAGGCAGATGCACTCCGACTTTGAAGGCAGCCACCGGTTAGTCGACTCCCACAACATGCTTGTTGGGGAAGGCAGTCAGTCTATTCGTGTTTTCCCCACAAACGGGCCTCAGAACCCATAGGTATTTTTTTTTCATTTTTTTTTATTTATTAAAAAAATGGGCTGTCTTCACAAAGAAGATTAGCCATAGAGGCTCCGATGCTGTCTTTAGAAATGTTACATGGTTAGGCCCCAATCTCTTCCACAGGGCAGGCGACTCTTGCCTCACTGCCCGACAGCAGCAAAAATAAAAATTTTCTTAAACTGCCAGTCGCAGATAACATAAGCTGGGTTATCAAGGACTGGACTGTTAAATTATTTCACTAACCTCTCAGCCACAAAACAAAGTTAGTTGCGTATCCTTTAAAGGACGTTGCAGAACCAACCCCAGCATTTTTTGGCTGTTGTGGTTTTCTAGGCAAGTTTACACCCAGTAGTTTGCTATTGCTTTCTGGACGATCGGCTTCTCGATACCACTGTCAAAACACAAGGGGCAAGGCCCGCAGCTGGGAACAAACCTGGCACTACAAAGCACCACAGACCCCGACCCACAAAACATTTTTGTTTTAAATAACGCAGAGAAAAAAGACTTACCAGAGGGATGCTCCAGCTTGTGCATGAGGCCCTGAATGGCGTACAGAGCCTGAAGCTCCATGTCCGGCCTGTTCTGGATGTAGTGCTGAAGGATCTCCACTCGAGACTTTAACACTTCCTCAATCAGCTTCTTTGTGGTGGCTGGGAAAGTGAGGTGGCATCATGTAGCAATATGTGTGTGTGAAGCAACTGTGCTGTGTAAATGTAGCAATGTGTGTCAGCCAACTCAGCTGTGTGAGGGAAGGCAGCAATGTGTGTGAACCCTGAGTTGAGTTAGATTATCTTCACAGCACTCTGGACACATCCATAGGCGCTTAGATTTCCCTCTCAACATATTTATCAGCGTTGTGCGGTTAATAGTACCAGTCCTTTGTTGGTTAACAAGACTTCGTGTTCATCTAGTGTGCTTCTCATGCTTGGCTGTGCCGTTCTTTACTCACAACTCGCGTATTCTTAGAAGTGATGTGGACATGTTGCTTCTAAAATCCTCAGAACGTCTTATCTCTCTAATGGCAATGACAATGCGTGATCATGGGCAGACCATCTTCGATTAATGCAGTGCCTGCCAGTCTATAAGCTCTCTCATTACCAATAACGCCTGCATGCCCTGGGACGAAAATGAAAGTAACTGCACACACAGGAATATTTTGCAATGACGCAAGCCACTGTCTGCGTAACCAGCCTGCCTTGACCCGCCGGATCATACTCAAAGAATCACCCAGCACACACGAAAGCCTGTGTCACCACTATTACCTCCATCGTCATGCTGCTGATGGTTATGGAGAAGGCACCGCTGGCTTCCTTAATTGTTCTGCCTGGAGAGCGAGCTGTAAATGCTCATGCACTCGTATGTCCTTGTATAACGGACCTGTCAGTGAAGATCACCACATCTGTCTCATCTGACTTGTCACACATAAGCTCATACCTCGGCATTCACAGCAGCTGGATTCTGCTCCCGAAAACTCCTATCGAGTGTCACGACACAGGAGAATGTGAGATTGGGCGCTTTTGACTCTGGTATCCACTCCTCACCTGGATGGATGTCTGTAAGGCTGCAAACCTGCAAGTTGTAACCCTCTGCCCTACCCAGCCATGATTTGCCCCTTTTGAGCCTATTGCCCTTTTTTTGAAGAGCATGTGGTGCAAAGGGTGCTTCAGATCTGAGCTTATTTTGAGGTATGCACGAGCCCTCCAGATCTTGATCCTGTAGTTCATGGTAGGGAAGTAAAGAAGGCACCTCATTGCTACACAATAGGTGTCTCCAGTGCATCCTAGAATAATGTGCATTGCTTCATTTTGCACCTTCTTAAGTGTGTGTGAACCTACTCACTGTGCGAATGTAGCATTGTGTGATAGTCAACTCAAACTCAGCTGTGCCAATGTAGTAATGTGTGAGAACCAACTCTCTGTCTGAACAACTAAGCTGGGTGAATGCAGCAATGTGTGTGAACCAACGCTCTGTGTGAACCAACTCATTGTGTGAATGTATCAATGTGTATGAAACTACTCAGTGTGAATGTAGCAACGTATGTGGATTTATCTATGTGTATGAAACAAATTAGTGTGTGAATGCAGCTATGTGTATAAAACAAAGTGTGTGAGTGTAGCAGTGTGGTGATTGTAGCAATGAAAATGAAGCAAGTCAGTTGTGTGAATGTAGCAACATGTGTGAACCAACTCTTTGAGAGCCAAATCAGTGTGTGAATGTAGCAATGTGTGTGAATGTAACAATGAGTGTAAAGCAACTGACTGCATGAATGTAGCAATGTATGTGAGCCAACTCTGTGTGTTAACCAACTCTCTGTGATCCAACTAAGCTGTGTGAATGTAGCATGTGTATGAAACAACTCAGTGTGTGTATGTATAAATGTGTGTGTGAATTTAGCAATGTATATGAAACAACTCTGTGGAATTTAGCAGTGTGTGTGAATGTAGCAATGAGTACAAAGCAATTCAGCTGTGTGTATGTAGCAATGTGTATGATGAATCAACTCACTGTGTGAATGTAGCAATATGTGTAAGCTTACTCAGTGCGTGAATAAATCAATGTGTATGAATCAACTCAGTATGTGCATGTAGCAATGTGTGTAAACAAACCCTATGTGTGAGCCAACCTAGTGTGTGAATGTATATAAAGCAACTCAGTGCATGAACGTAGCAATGTGAATGAAGCGCCTTCATGTGTGAATGTAGCTATGTGTATGAACCAACTCTCTTGTGTGAATGTAGTAATCTAAATATATGAACCAACACTGTGTATAAGCACACACTGTGTGAATGTAGCAATGTATATGAAGCAACTCAGTGTGTGAATCTAGCAATGTATATGAAGCAACTCAGTGTGTGAATCTAGCAATGTGTGTGAGCCAACTCAGTGTGTGAATCTAGCAATATGTGTAAACCAATTCTGTGTGAGCCAATTAAGCTGTATGGATGTATCAATAATATGAAGCAACTCAGCTGTGTGAATGTAGCAATGAGTATGAAGCAACTGTGTGAATGTAGTGTACAAACCACCTACTCGTGTGTATGTAGTAATGGGAATGAATCGAACAGATGCGTGAATGCAGCATTGCGTATGAACATCAACTAAAATTCATGAATTACAGTATATCATCTATCTGACAAAGATATGAAAACCCAGCTAACTTAAAATCTGTGTCTCCTACGCAGCAATGTGTAGTGTCTCCCCCACTCCACCCCAAAAAAAATCAACAACAAAGAAAAAATGAATGCAACCACACTAAAATGTTAATGATGAATAGTAAAAGTAAAGTAAAGTTGAGAGATGTGAACCAGCGTCATTGCACATGGTTATAAACCATAAGCGCTCTGCCACCAGTACAGACTGCTGATAAGAAACTGCCTGTGTTGCTGTCAGCATGTAACTCTGTAGCTACAGCGAAGTTCCTCTATTCAACCCAGAATGTCAACTCATTAAACTGACACGACACACATTAAAGTGCAGAGATATGTGCAGCAACTACAGCAACACGTGTTGGAGATACGTGTGCCCCTTGCAGAGTGGCAAATATAACTCCAGAGGTTATTAGCATCCTGTGGATATTTCTCCAGGGCATGCATGTGAGTGCTGGAAAAGGAACAGGCTGGTGATGATCCCTGGGCGATGAAATGATACATGACAAGCCAGATGTGGTCAAGGCTCTCTCGCAGCGAGTGAACAGCATGGAAGAGCTAACAGATCATCAGGGTCGGGATAAAATGGTGACGCTCGGAGTGACTAAGAGGCCAATATTTAACAACTTATGGTAACGACTTCAGTGCTATGATGACAGTTCTTAACTCAACGGCAGAATATGAATTATAATTCTGGCAAATATAACAGGGACAAACAATTTGAACAGAGCATACAGATGAAATAAAATGCACGCTGTAGTTGAAACCAAATCACTGCCCTGCTACAACAGATAATGGATTGAACAAGTCACACAGAAGCATTTACCACTGTAAACACAAACTTACGTGATATTGAAGCATTGACTACTGCAGTAACCACAGCACGTATAAACTGTTTGTCGTCCCTGTCTGAATCAGCATATTTCTGAAAAAGATTAATAAATCAGTTTTATAATGCATGCCAACACACCATCACAGATGCACTGACAGGTGCACACAATAACAATTTAAACATTTTGCCTGGCGTGCTAGCTAAGTTGGTTAAACCAGCTGCATGGCGACTAGGTGACAAATTCCTTGTGGTCCGAGTTCCCACTTGGTGGTAGGCAGAAAAGCCACATATTTGCCAGATTCACGGTGTCTATCATGGAAACAAGATAGAACACTTGCGATATACATAGTACCAAGCGGGGGAAAAAAAAGTTGGCTCTCCTCCGAACTCCTACCCCATATTATGGCGGCCAAACAAATAACCTAACAGGGCCTCAGTCCTATGCAAAAATGAGGAGTTCCTGCCGAGGAACAAATCGCGGCAAAACTAGAATCAGCTCCAAATAACAGGTCAATATTATCGAGGCCAAACAAATGCTCTAACAGGGTCTCAGCGATATATTAATTGCGGACCTGTTTCTGCGAATACGCCGCAACTCTGACAGTATCCCTCGCACCGCTACGTGTTGCACGGATTGGGGGCTAGATGGATAGAACTCACGAGCAGCAGCTATTGCATCTCCCGCAACTTCCTTCAATTTATTTGCTCGCGAGTTCCAGGCATCTAGTTTAGATCCCCATCCGCACTGCGCGCAGCGGCGCGGGAAATACTGCCAGCGGTGAGTTTAACAGCGTTTTGCACATGCTGAAAAGTGTGAGGACAATGACGACGCTAATCTGCGTCGGAGTGCGTGTTCTCCCCGACATATTGCTATTGTCGTCTGTAATGTTGCGTATCTCTAAATTGTCAATGGTCGCTATTATCGTCTGCAGAAATGCTCGAAATAGTCTGTGTTGTGACACTGTCAAGTAATCCTAGTTTTGCCGCGATGTGTTCATCGCAGGAAGTCCACATTTTACACATGACTGAGACCCTGGTAGGGTATTTGTTTGGCCGCCATAATATGGTGTAGAGGTTCGAAGGAGAGCCAAAAAGTGTACAACTCATGGTTTCTGGATCCAGGGAAAAAAATAATACAGATATGTTAGAGAACTTACAATTAATGTTGTGTGGCGTTGATAGCCATGTCTATCCACAACCTTCTGTCGCATATACTTTCAATCAGTTCTGACACAGATAATCTTCCCTGCCATGATGCCAAACCTTCCAGCATGTTTTCTCTCTATTTCCCCCTGCCTCTTTTCCCCTCCAGCTTTCCCACCATCACAATGTACTTAAGTTTTCTTCTCCTACTGATCTGACCAAAGAATGTAGATTGTCTCCTTCTGATGCGGGCAATCAGTTCTCTTTATGACTCAGCGTCTTACAAGACATCATTACTTTTTTCACCTATCCAAGGTTTTTTTTTTTTTAAATCTTTCCTCTTTTGCTTATAAAGGAAAACTATGTCTATTGCTGGCTAGTGCTTTCAAAGGAAGAAGAAATGGCTTGGACATGTTTGCAGAATGCCTCGTGTGACACTGGCAAGGACGGCAATCACAGAGCAGAGGCAGATGCACTTCTGGTGGCATGTTCTTTTCTGAATGGACATCAGCACAGCAAATATAGCAGAGTGGTCTTTCTGACTGATGCCATGTCAGTTCTACCATCAATTGCTAACCCAAAAGACAGTTTGTAGACTTGAAGCAACAGCTGATTCACCTAGGCTCTTTAGTAGAACAATCTGTAATGCAGTGGATTCCAGGTCACTGTGGCTTGGAAGGCAATGAAACGGTGGACAGGTTGGCTAGAAGTGGCAGTGACATGGTACAACCAAACAGTCACTTAACCCACTAAGAGACTTAGACATTATTACTACCTAGCATTCAAGAAAAGTGACTGGATATAAACACCAAATTCTCTCAAGACTCGCCTCTCTAGAGAGGGACGGTGTATTATATTCAGACTAAGGACAGGGCACTGCAGACTTTGTCAAGATATGTTAAAACTTTTCTATGTAGGAAACAAAGTTGTGCCCCTGCAACTTGGCACTCAAAAATGCTGAGCATGTGCTCCAACACTGTCAACTGTATGCTGACAACAGAGACGCAATCTGGCCTGTTCCAACAAAAATGAAGACAAAAACTGTATGGTACACGAGAAAAGAGGGACTGCGTGATAGCTTTCATAAAGGCTACCAGCCTCCTGGTATATTTTCTGACAGAAGGATGGAAGAAGAAGAAGAAGAAACTTCAAACAAATTACTGCAGACAGAGAACTGATACTTTTTCCCTGCCTCCACCTACAACCACTCCCACAACAATTTTGATTACACCCCCCCCCCTTGCAACAATCCTCTCTGTACAACAACCCCCATTTCCCCTGCCACAATCTCTCACCCACCTCTCCCCCCCTCAACAATACCCATCTTTTCTGCAACAATCCTCCTCACCGCAAAAATTCCCATTTTTTTTCTTTCTGCAACAGTTCCCCAATCTATCCTACAACAGTCCCCCCCCCCCTCCCCAAACAACTCCCTCTCCTGCAATAATCCTCTCTCCGTACAACAACCACCATCTCCCCTGCCACAATCTCCTCCCCCTTCCTCAACAATCCCATCTTTTCTGCAACAATCCTCTTCTCCACAAAAATTCCCATTTTTTTCTAGCAACAATTCCCTTAATCTTTCCTACAACAGCCCCCCCCCCCCCCCCCCCTCCCCTTTTCTTCTCCATCAACCCCCGTCCACAACTTACATCAATGCAGGCTAAGACCTCCTCATTGGTGCCATTTCTGCGGACAATGCTCTCCACATCCTGCACCAACTTCTGCACATTCAAATGGCTGGAAGCGGCAGCGACGCCAGCGGCAGGCTCCACTGTGAACTGTAGTTTCTTGTCTATGAGAAACTGCGACACCTCCTCTGCATCGAGGAAGGTTTCCCAGCTCATGTTGTTTGCCTGCCACATGAGGGCAACATCCCTCTCGCTCTAGGAGGAGAAAACAAGAGGAATGACTGGTTTTTTTTTTTTTTTTTTTTTTTTTTTTTTTTGAAAGAGTGCTGAAATATGACAAGTGGGTGCTTCACACACAACTGTATTGTGAGAAGTGTGTGAAGGAACAGAATGAATGTGTGCGGGATAGAGAGATGGAGAGACAGAAAGAGAGAAGACAGGGGATAATAAAGAGAAAGAAAGACACGATATATAGAGAAAGAGAGAGAGATCAAGAAAGAGAAAAGAAACAAAGAGGAAATGAAGAGCAGAAACAGGGATAATACAGAAAAAGACACATCAAGAGAAATAGATAAACTAAACAGAGAGAAAAGGATATATAGAGAAAGACAAAGAGAAAGAAAGAGAAAACAAAACAAAACCATCTTGTTGTGTGCCATTACAGTCACACAGAACTTGCAGTGTTTGTTCTACCCTTTACAACTATTTGAAAATCATGAATGGAATCCTGTCCAGCACTTGTGGCCATTTCTTTCAGCATTCATCGTCTCAAGAGTTTCTTTTGGATGTCTTTGTTACCACAATCTATTTATTTCCCATTTAAATGCCTGCTTGGTGATTCTCTGTTGGCTTCTTTAGAAGTGCCCACAATATCACCATGTTTTATCTTATAACTGTGGATACTAGCAGGTGGTTGTCCAGACATTTCTTCTGCATTGGTAAAAAGCAAAGCAAAAATATACTTTCATTGGAGCCCACAGGGTAAAAAAAAAAAAAAAAGGGGGGGGGGGGGGGGGGGGGGTCAAATGAGGAAGTGAATTAAAGACATTAAAAAAGTCTAGAAAAATGGCATAAAACAGACAATTCTATTAAGATTGAAAGTGATCAAAATAAAGTCAGTTATTCAGATCAAATTCAAATCTTTCAATTAAGGTCTCCCAATTGCAAATTACAACATAATCAAAAATTTATACCATCAAAATTTTTGTAAGAATTATTCACCTTTTGGGGGTGGGGGGGGGTGGGGGGTGCATTTGGGTCAGCTGGCGAGTTGTATGATACCTCCAAGATGATCAGTGGGCAAAAAGAAAGGTCCTTTTAAGGACTCTCAAATTCAATGGAACAGGAAATCCACAACCAAGGAAATTAAAAGAAGAAGCCAGACTCAGGTATCAATGACTCAATAAGGAACACCCTGTTCTTTATTAACATCCTACCTCAAATGATATCACAGGACAGTCCAACATTTAGAGGGTGGTAAGACTGGGTTTCCCGGCTTTCTGATTCTTTTAACGACCCCCAAAACATATAGAACTGGCCCTAACCCCAACCCATTTACGGCCCACGACTGCATGTAGCATATCTTCCATCCCCTCAAATATTACTGTCCCGTGACCTGTAAATTTCCCCGTTAGGGGTAGGATATTAATAAAGCATCAAACACCCTAGATAAACCTTGAGAGCAGCCTTGGACCACAAATAATAACACACAATAAGGACAGAAGACAAAAGGGAACAATCAAAACCGTGGAATAGTAAAGGAACGTGCAAACACTTCAGTAATGGCCAAACAACAGGAGGTGTGCTCACACAGAAGAAACTATAAAACCCATTAGAGGACCAATGACCAGATCTGGACGAGCGGGAAAAGACATCCAGACCTGGATGAGCACGAAAGGACGACCCAGATAGGGACACTAAACCAATTCAAGCCAACAACAGTTAGCGCAAGAAATATAGTCACAGTTACAACCCAAAGTTTCTTTTTCAGAAGGAGCTGGGAGAATGTGATGATCTTTGTTTTGTTTTCTCAAAAACTAAAGATGATGGCATAAAACAGAAAGGCTTGGCATAGTGAATAACCTATATCCAAAGGAAGATAAAGGTGGGGAAAAAAAGAAACACCAGAACAGAAGTAATATTCAGAAAGATTAAAAAAAAACCATAGAAAGCAAATTCATGTTATAACTCACAGTCTTATCCCTGGCCACTGACACGATTTCAGCCAAGAGCTTGGCACAGCCCTTCTTGTCCAGGTTGGACTTGAGTGTGGTCGATAATGTTGGCCAGGACAGTGAGCCACCAAGAAGCATAGGAACGATGATCTGTGCCAGGTAGGTCCAGATCTTTGGAATGTCTATCACCATGTCTTCAGCAAATGACAGCACTTCTGCAAACCTGCATAAACGATTGTTTAAACATTTACTAAATGATTATGGTTCATTTTCAATTTAAACATTTACTAATTGTGATACATTATCAATTAAAGTAAACATTTACTAATTGTGATACATTATCAGTTAAAGTAAACATTAACTAATTGTGATACATTATCAATTAAAGTAAACATTTACTAATTGTGATACATTATCAGTTAAAGTAAACATTTACTAATTGTGATACATTATCAATTAAAGTAAACATTTACTAATTGTGATACATTATCAATTAAAGTAATCATTTACTAAATGATCATGGTTCATTATCAATTAAAGTAAACATCTACTAACTGTGATACATTATCAATTAAAGTAAACATTTACTAATTGTGATACATTATCAATTAAAGTAAACATTTACAAAATAATTGTGTTCATTTTCAATTAAAATAAACATTTACTAAATGATTATGGTTCATTATCAATTAAAGTAAACATTTACTAAATGACTGTGATATATCCATCAAAGTAAACATTTATATAAACAATAATGATTATGTATTCTCCTCATGTCGGTCCTGGAGCCCCATTTTGAGGGAAAAGAAATAAGCCACCCCCCCAAAGACCCCCCCCCCCCCCCCCCCCCCCCGTCATAAAAGACAACTAGTTAGGGGTGTTTCCTTCGAAACGAGGGTGCCTCTGCCTGAGAGGCGAGGAACAAACAGTCTGCAAATAAGCCAGATCTGTAAGACCGGTAAGCTGGATGTGCATGCAAAACTCATGTTCGGGAACAAGATCAAAGTCTAGAAGTGGGGGGTAACCCGGTACTTTCTTGCCGGAGTTTACAGCCGGTCAGTGTGAAAACATCAGATGGAAGATGTATTAAAGAAGTTCAATGTCAAATAGCTCAAGCTGAGGCAGCATTTTACAAAATGAAGAATATTTTATGCAATCTTTCTTTGTCAATTGAGATGCGAAAGAGAATTCTTAAAAGCTATATAAATCCTATATTGATATACTGGTGTGAATCATGGACAGTTAGCAAATTAGTAAAAACTTATTTGGAAGCTGCGGAGATGTGGTTGTATAGTCGAATGATGAGAATACCCTGGACAGATAAAAACAGTAATGAAGATGTCTTGAAAGAAACTGGCTCATGAAGAGAACTGATTGCCCACATCAAAAAAAGACAATCTACATACTGTGGTCATGTGATGAAAAGGAGAAAACTTGAGTACACTGTGACGGTAGGAAAGCTGGAGGGGGAAGAGAGGCAGAGAGAGATCGAGAGAACAGATGCCAGACAGTTTGACATCACGGCAAGAACATCTATGTCAGAGTTGACTGAAAGTAGACGATACATGTTGTGGATAGACATGACTACCAACACCACACGGCATGGTAAGAAGAAGAGCGTGAAAAAGAAGAAAGAAGGCGGTGGTTACATTATCAACTAAAATAAACACTTCTGTAAATGATTAGGGGTCGTTATCAATGAGAGAAAAAGTTTCAAGTAAACAATTATGATTATGTTATTATCAAGAAGAGTAAACATTTAGGTAAACAATTATGATTATGTTATCAAGGAGAGTAAATATTTACCGAAATTATGGCTACGTTTTCAATGAGTAAAATGTTATCAAAGTCCTTGTGTTGTCATGTGTTTTTCAGGGTGCACCTTAGCAACCAACAGAGAGTTCCCATTCTGATGGTGCCGTTTGCAGCCTGATCATAAATATGCATGTCTTTTCTCTTGTGAGTAAAAGAGGATTATGACCTGCTGCACTTCCAGCTGAATCAGTCTCTCCAGGTTTGGACACTTTCAGTTGGACTTCTAGCTAGATTTCTGACAGCCTTCACCAGAATGAGCTTAACATAAAGCAGCTCACTGGCAACAGAAGCCAATTTATCAGCCTGCTTGTTGCCCCGTACACCTGAATCTCCTGGGCAGAAAATCCACAATATGCTTCTAATCTAAATCAAATGATGCAAGCTAACCTATGCATAAACACCCAGTTTCTATTTTCTGCCTCTTGGGCGAATCATGATCCCAGGATATTAATAATCATGTTGTGAAAATATGCGTCGATGGTCATGATCCCCTCATCTCATACAATCCTGGATTGTGACAAAGTTCTTGTACTGGTCCTTCCATCAAACAGGAACCTAGGATGCAGCAGAACCACCACCATCTGTGGTCATTCACTAGACCAGGGTTCAGAATGGTCTCAAACCTACCAATAATAATTCTTTTTGTATGGTTGCCAACCGAGTACCTGGCTAATGTAGACAGGATACACATTTCCATCAAAACTCATCTGCCTAAAAGGTGAGAAAACAAGTCTGCACACAAATAAACCAAATATGGACAAATAAAGGAACAAGATCAAAATCCAGATATAGACCAACAATAAGCAGATGAGGACGAACTAGTCAGTCGTCACAAGCAGAAAAAGACAAAACTGGCAGTCAATTTGATTCTTACCCCTTCAAGAACACATCCATGGGAACAAGGCCGTGCTTGACAATCTCATGGAGAAAAGAACCTGCTAGATCCCTCTCTTTGTGGGTCTTCTCCAGGACCTCGTTGATGCTCGTAGTTACTAACAAGCTGATATGTTTTTGACCCTCCAGTTCCTTTACACACAGCTTCGCCTCCTGCAATGACAACCACATGCAGCCATTAGATAATACACAAGCTGTAAATGATGACTAATTAGGTGTTTACAGACACTGGATGTGGTGAGGTGATAAGCACAGGCATTGCAGCCTAACAATATAAACCTCAGCAGAATGTACCAAACGTCCCACTTTTTAAAAAAGAATGAACGTAGCAGGATTTGAGGTCAAATTTACCAAACAATGTCAAGGCTTTTCAAGAGCCTTTTCAAGGTATTCTTAGTTTTTTCAAGGTTATGACTGGCTTATTATTGAGGCACAGTATTTTTGCTATGGGTGTAAGGAGCATAAACACGCATACTGCCAGCATATATTTAAAACGACTGCAGCCCAAACTCTTGCCTGCGCAGTTTGCTGACAATCAGTTCAAACAGCAGTTACTGCACACACAAAAACACACCTGAAAATTGCCCAAATTCTCTTTTTGTTTATCTGTGTCTGGGTTACAGGTTAGGGTGTGTAAAGTTAAAGAACTGGTGGGTGAAGTTCAAGGATTTTGATCAGTTACATAAAAATCCTGAGTTTTTCCAGATGAGAGGGATATTGAATTTCCCAACTTTTTCCAGGCCCACTACAAACCCTGTTACAATGTTACAGCCAAACGCAACAGAACTAACCCCCCAGAAGCTTACAATGTTGCAGCTAAATGCAAAAAAACAAATCCCTGGTAACTTATAATGTTAAAGCCAAAACGCAAGAAAACTAACCTCCAGAAACTTACGATGTTGCGGATAAAGGCAAGAAAACAGACCTCCAGGAACTTACAATGTTACAGCCAACCACAAGAAAATTAACAGCCAGGAACTTACAATTTACGGATAAACACAAGAAAACTAACCACCAGGTATTTACAATGTTACAGCTAAACCGCAAGATAACTGACCTCCAGGAACTTACAATGTTACAGCCAACTGCAAGAAAATTAACCCTCCAGGAACTTGCAATATTACGACCAAATGCAAGAAAACTAACCCCTAGTAACTTAAATGCAACAGCTAAACAAAGTAAACTAACCTCCAGGTCCATTGCACTAAGGTACTCCTCTAGGATGGTCTTGGCTTTGTGTTCCATTTCCTCTTCTGACAGAGGTTTCAACTTGACCACCTGCCCATCTGTGAAGCCACTGCCACCACCAGCAGGTGTGGCAGGAAGAGATGAAGACACCAGATTCTGTGGAATAAATGTGTCACTGGGCCGCAGGGAGCCAGTGCTTCGAGTCATCTGGTTTTCACCCTCGCGAGATCCTCTAGACGGGATTGGCTGCCGACGATCTTCCCGGTTCCAACTGTCATCTCTTGCGAAATCTTGTGGCCTTCCTCCCTGCGCGGAACTGGAAATTAATTTTCATAATAAATGGAAAATCAGATCAATAGTTTCTTTCTTTTAAAACTAGCACACACACACACACTCAAAAAAGGAAAGAGTGCTGTGTTTGGGTGTCTATATATCTGCAATTGCCCAATTATCAAAGTTAGGAAATGACCTTCACAAATTAACCCTCTGGCCCCATGATCTTTTCACAAAGCATATTGGAAAGGAAATTTTTTTTTTTTTTCAGTGATCTCTGGTCATGAACCTTAATCCATTATGGGTCAAAAACTGGGATGTCATCTCAAGGTCATCTAGTTTCCCCAAAGCTGTCAGATCAACAGTGTGTGGCCCGCATGCTGCTGCAGGAGAGGAGTCTTGAAAGACACGCTCTAGAGCCTGTTCAGTGTGAAGACGCTGGCAGAAAACTGTTTGGCTCATACCTTTCAACATGAAGACACTGGCAGACAGCTGTTTGGCTCATACCTTTCAGTGTGAAGACACTGACAGACAGCTGTTTGCCTCATACCTTTTAGCGTGAAGACACTGACAGACAGCTGTTTGCCTCATACCTTTTAGCGAAAACACACTGGCAGATAGCTGTTTGTCTCATACCTTTCAGCGTGAAGACACTGACAGACAGCTGTTTGCCTTATACCTTTTAGCATGAAGACACTGGCAGATAGCTGTTTGGCTCATACCCAATGTATGCTAAAGGAACTCGGCATTACAATTCTCTAAAACAACAAAAGGGAACTAACAAGCTGCAACGAACCAAGAAGCGAGAGAAAGACACTGGATAGGAAATGCACTGAGAAACATTGCAGTAAAACCTCATTAACATGAGCTGGCTTAAGAACAACAACATCGAGTTAACGAGAAAGCAATTTTGGTCCTATCATATTTCCATTTCTGCTGTTGAATGTTGTTGGGAGGAACAGTATGTGACCCACTGCTTGATGGGCAGTAATGGCTACTGTCATTCCGTGTTAATGTAGAAGCTGTATAACGTCATCAGTCCACGTTCTCCTAGGGTGGCCTCTTGCTTTCACTTTTCACAAGATCTTTTCATGTGTAGCACCTGCATTGGTTGTTCAGGCTGCATTCTTACTTAATGACCAAACCATTCAATCTTCTGTTTCACAATGACTGTGCAGCATGGTGTTGGTCTCATCAGGGATGTATTGTTGTTAGTCACCGGCTAGCACCATTTTTTTTTTATAGCATGAACATGATTTGTCAGCCCTTAGGAATTTATGTTAATGTAGTTTTACTGTAATAGTTAATACTGTTAATAGTTTACTGTAATAATTTACTGGAATGTATTTCTCTGGAACCCACAGATAGACCACCTAACAACACACAGAGAAGAGAATCTCTCTACTGTGCTCAGACTCCAGTTAATGCATGTTTGTAGATTATTAATAATTCCTCAAGTTGGCTTGAGTTGGTAGGGTTAGACTAAGATTAACCACAGTCTTGCAACAAGGACAATAAACTACTACTAAAGTTAGTTGCGTCTCCTTTAGAGGACGTCGTAGAACCATCCCCAGTATTTTTGGGCTGTTGTTTTTCTAGGTAAATTTACGTCCAGTAGTTTGCCATCACTTTCTGGAGGGTCAGCTTCTCGATACCACTATGAACCAACACAAGGCGCAAGGCCCGCAGCTGGGATCTAACCTTCCCCCCCCCCCCCCCCCCCACCCCCCCCCCCCCCCCCCCCGGCATTACAGAGCTCGTATGAATCGCCTAACCACAGACAAACTACTACTTTATTCAGTAACAAATTTATAAGATAGAATGAGCTAAATTATATGAGCCAGATACTAAAAAGTTATAAGCCCTATAACTGGTCTCAGTCCTAATCTTCCAATTTCTTCTTCTTAGCGTTCATCGGCTATTGACTCCAGCAAAAAATTATGGTTGTTCATTCCATTTTTTGACTCTGGTCTTATTTCAGAACTTCAGTTCTGCACGTACATTCGCTTTTACAGATTTGGTTCTTTTACAAGCAGACTGAGGGTTCCTTGTCTCTCAGGCAGATGCACTCCAACTTTGAAGGAATGATCCATAATTAGTCGACAGCCTTGTTGGGTTGGAGGGGTGTGTGGGTCTTTTCTTTGTCCCTCTCCCCAGAAAGGGTGCCCTGAAACCCACATGGGGAATTTTTAATGTTATCCATTCCTGTTACTCGAGCATAAACTTGCCGGACAAACCAACCAACCAAAATACTAACCGGCTAGTACTGTCCCTCCGGTCTCCTTCCTGGCTAGACCTCTGAAGCACCTTGCCCCGACCGTGCCCAGCAGTGGGGCCCTGTCTTGGCCCTCTGGCTGGAGCAGCACCGCTGTCCCCACGAGCCGGTGACCTCTGGAAGCTCCTGCGTTCTTCTTCACCCCGAAGTGCAGAGAATCTAAGGCAGGGACAAGCAAGATTTATGTCTCCCTCCACACACACACAGATCTATATACATCTGCAAAAATGTGTATATAAATATATACACACACTGTCAGGGACCTACTTTATTATCTACCTACCCTGGCTTGTTGGGTAAGCCAGCTAACAGACTTAACTACCCTAGAACATACTTAAAGCACACCCCTATTGAGTACACACATAATCTTTAATGTACACAGAAAAATTCAACCTAAAGCAAACCTCAACGGAATGGACGTTTCTTGTTCTAAAACGCCTGTGGTGATAGCTTTTATATTTACAATACACCCCAAGCCATTCCTATGGATACCCCAAGGGCTCGATTCCACCTCACCGTTGCACAACGCTAACTTAGCTGTTGTCCTTGCGAAACTCAGCGGTACGCATAAGGTGAGTGATCCAAGTATAAGTGGGCAGTGTTAGCGCCACCAACAATGCATGTCAACATTAAGTACCTGCTTAACAGATGTTGCGTGAGAGCTACTACTATGCAAGAAACATTATGAATGAATAATCTTGCCAGAACACCATATGGAAGCACAATATATCTAAAGCCTAACCACAAATACTATTCTTGCTAATCGTCACTAATACAAAACTACGCTAAGCATTTCTAATAGAAGATACATTTAATGTTGCAGCACCACAACCATCCAGTCCCAAGTCCTAAACACATGGTCTCTCCCGAACAAGCTCTGTCCAAGCCTTTTGTCCCTCTTCAGCATTCATCTCGACACGCTAACTCGTGTTACTAATGGTGCGTAGGGCTTAGCCCAGCTCAGTCGACACAGTTTATTCCGGGGTAAAACTGCCCGATCTCGCTCTGAGTTTGACTGAGGGTCAACTCGTTCATATGTGATGATTCACTATCATCACAACTACTCATCCCGTAACCGAACTGGCCTCTGACACACTGAGACAGACAGACACACACACAGAGAGAGAGAGAGAGAGAGAGAGAGAGAGAGAGAGAGAGAGAGAGAGAGACGAGAGAACGAGAGAGAGAGAGAGAGAGAGAGAGAGAGAGAGAGAGAGAGAGAGAGAGAGAGAGAAAGAGAGAGAGAGACATACACACACACACATATATATATATATATAAACACACACATATACAGATATATTTACAGACACACACACTCCTAAGACATATGCTGATGAAAGAAGCTGAAAATAGGAATAGAATGGAAGAATAAACTGCAACCCTTGTAACAGCATAACAGAATGAGAATGAATAAATATATAAATATATTTACAATAAAAATACCTTAACACAAATTTGTTTAAGAATTTATAGACAAATGATGAGAACACCCTGCAGATACAAAATCGTTCCTTCGATACAAAGAGTAATTAGGATGTCTTGAAAGAAACTGCCTCACAAAGAGAACTGATTGCCCACATCAGAAAAAGACAATCTACATTCTCTGGTCATGTAATGAAAAGGGGAAAACTGGTGTACATTATGACAGTGGACAAATTGGAGGGGAGTAGAGGCAGACCAAGGGAAAAGATGCTGGACAGTTTCACATCATGATATGGAGGATCATCTGTGTAGAGTAGACTGTAAGTATGCCAGTAAGTATACAGAAGGTTGTGAATAGACACGGTTACCAATGATACATGGAATGGACTTTAAGAAGAAGAGGAAGAAAAAGAAAGAGGAGGAAGAAGAAGAGGAGGAGGAAAAAGAAGAGGAAGAGGAAGAAAAAGAGGAAGATGAAGAAAAGGAAGGAGGAAGGGAAGAAAAAAGAAGAGGAGGAAGAAAAGGAGGAGGCAGAGGAAGAGGCGGTGGCAGCAGCAGAAGTAGAGGAAGAGGAGGCGGCAGCAGCAGCTTAAAAACATTCAGTTAACATGAACTCACAACTTTGGTTCCACATACTGTAAAGAAAAACCTCACTCACATGATCTCACTTTAAGAAAACTTCACTCCCAAAAAGGATTACTATCACTAGCCCCGGATAACATGAATGTCTTTAATGCAAACATTTTTTGGGGGTTATTTTTGAAGTCATGTTAACGAGGTTTTACTGTATATTAACAATCTATATACATAAAAATCAATGTTTGTGTGTGTGTTTATGATCTATAGACTCAGAAACTACTGAACCGATTTAGCTGGAATTTTCAGGATATGTTTGTTTTGATACCGGATTTTTACCCATCATGGTTTGAAATTCTACCTGTCATTGTTTGAGATAGGTGACGACTATACCGACGTCTGCGAAGACAATGATTGCGACATTAACCCTGTTAAACATGTGCGATTTCTATTGTGCCGTTTCAAGAATATATTTGGAATATCTGTCTATGAGAAAACAATTGCCTGCGGTCTTAAGTTGTGTTATAATCGGGACACAGTAGTAGGAACACACATCTCAAATAGTTTTGTTCTCTTTTCGTTGCTCCGATGGAATGGTTGTCTGGCCGAATGGTTAGAACACCGGGCTCCCATGTCGGAGACCAGGGTTCGAATCCGCAGTATTTTTTTTTTAACCCGCGGGTTAAATAAAATCCTTACCGGCACTTTCGTGGCGACAGCACTAGCCATGTGGCTGTTAATACTAAAAATAATAAAAAAAACACGTATCTGGGTAAACCAGTTGATAACTAAATTTGACTATTTCGCATATTTATGATTTCATTTCAAACTTTCTGATTGCATGGTTGGTTACGTTGAATTTTCATAGATTTCCATTTATTTTCATTTAGGTTTTAATTATTTCATTTGCATTGGAATTTTAAGCTGTGCTGTTTACCATAGCGTTCATTTCCTAATTATGGTATATTTTTCCTGTTTTCATTGATTTTCACTTCATTTTTTCCTCCCAACAACTTCGATGAGGGAAAGAGTAGTCGGTGAATGAGGGAGAGAGTAAAAGGTGGATTTGGTGGTGGAGGATCGAAGACTCTCTATATCCTAGCAGACAATGATTGCAACAGTAACCCTATTAGACACGTGCAATTTTAATATTCTTTCTTTTCCATTTAGCCAAACTATGCCACAGCAACTTTTGGCCGGGTACAGCAAGTTAATAATAATGTCAATACTGCAAGAGGTCTTTTCAGAGCTTTTTGGTGGTAAACAATGCTAAGCTATTTTTGTATGGCACACATAAACTAGTCATAATTAGTTATGACCTAAAGCTCCCCTTTATTGATGCAAGTTGAACGTGATGATTTCATTCTCTGCAAAGCAAGCAAAGCCAGGATGGAAATCGTAGGGTGAGAAAGAGCAACACAAAGTGATATACCGTCATCGGGAGCCCCAATATAATCTGACAGTTGACTAGGGTTTCTGGGATGTGCGTCTGTTTGCTTCTCTGGCACTTGGTGTCACTGAGTGTTTATTGTTTGTAGTGCAGTCCTAGTGGCGTTAAATGTCACTCACTAACTCACAAGTTTTATCTACACACACACACGTTCATACCACTTGTGTTTGTCTAACCACGGCCCCCTCCCCTCTGTTTTTGTTACCCTGTTTTACTCTCAAAATTCTCATACCTGTTGGCAGCAGGTCTTTCAGTGCTTTGAACTGGCTGGACACACCCAAAGCTGCCCGTGGTCTAGTTTGAGAACTGCTTCATCCCTCCAAACAAACCCCCCCCCCCCTCCCCCCCCCCCCCCCCCCACCCCCTCCACACCCCCCCCCCCCCCCACCACCCCCCCCCCACCACCCCTCCCCCCCCCACCCCCCCCCCCCCCCCCCCCCCCCCCAACCCCCCCCCCCCACCCCCCCACCCCCCCCCCCCCCCCCCCCCCCCCCCCCCTCCCCCCCACCCCCACCCCCCCCCCACCCCCCCCCACCCCCCCCAGCCCCCCCCCCCCCCCCCCCCCCAAACCCCCCCCCCACCCCCCCCCCCCCCCCCCCCCCCCCCCCCCCACCCCCCCTCCCCCCCACCCCCCCCCCCCCCCCCCCCCCCCCCCCCCCCACCCCCCCCCCCCCCCCAACCCCCCCCCCCCCCCCCCCCCCCCCCCCCCCCCCCCCCCCCCCGCCCCCCCCCACCCCCCCCCCCCAAACCCGCCCCCCCCCCCCCCCCCACAATGTCACACACCTGTTGGCAGCAGGTCTTTCAGCGTCCTGAGCTGGCTGGACACCCCCAAAGCTACCCCTGGTCCAGTTGGAGAACTGCTTCATCCCTCCTCCTGGTCCCAGCTGGATGTTGTTTTCATCCACTACATTCTGGAGAGAAATCACAAATGACCAGAATTTGAAAACAGCAGATTAACTTCCCATGTGAGTTCCGAGGTTCTACTTTGGAGAACAGACCCACTGCCCCCCTAAAGCAAGCATGTCATAGGAGGCCCCTATCACAATATGGTCCTGGAACACACATGGGGATGGGTTTTGTTCTAGAATTAGAATTTTCAGTGCACATCCGTTTTACAGATCTACCTTATCGTACACGGCTAGTACCTCAGCTCTCAGGCAGATGAACTGTGACAGAAGGGAACATCAGTAATTAGCTGACATTTACAACATCAAGCTTTCTAGGAGGCAACCCCCACCCCTTTTCCACAAGGTCCTAGAACCACAAGGGAATGCTCAATACAGCTGTACTGATTTGAAATTTACAGCATATTTCATTAAAAATTATAAAGTTATAAATGTCTATAATCCTAAAATAATGTGTTGTTCAATCAGTCAGTTATTGCAGACTGTCTGATCAGATCTGTCAATCAGAGGCAATAAAACTTGCTGTTTTTATGTTTTGAGGCCTGTCCCGTCAGCCAAATTTCGGACCCAGGTCTGTCTTGTATGCAATTGTGAAACTTGGAGCATGCTTTCAGAAAGGTCAGTAAATCATACTACATGTATGCACCACTGCATTGTATATGTTTAAAATGTTGTTACATAGATTTCTTAGTTGCAGTTCTTTTCAGGGGACCGCGTTAGCATAGTTGATAAGAGACTTGCTTTCTAACCCAGCTGCGACTCGCTGCAGCCCACAGCCGGTGTTCGAAACCCGGCGGTTTCCTGGGTTTACCCAGCCTCTAGGTTATGGGTACCAGGGTTAACACACTGGGATAAATGGAGGAACATCGCTGTAGCTACGAAGTTGCATGCGAACGGCGACACAGGCGGACAGTTTCTTATCAGCTGTCCTTGCTGGTGGCAGACCTATTATGGTTTATAACTGTGCAATGACGCTGGTTCACATCTCCCGACTTTACCTTTTAGTTGCAGATATGAAGAGTGCTGAACTGGCAAACTTCATCATTTGTGCAGCAAGCCAGAACACTGCCAGTGAGGGCACAGGCTAACAGAAAAATGGCAGTAAAGAGGTTTTAACATTTATAAAGTGGGTGTTTCTGAATACGACAGAATAAATTGTTTATTCACAATTTTTTTTTTTTTAGCATATGCACAGGCTTCGTCTAAGTACTTCACCATTGTGGGCTGTGTGTGCAGACTACAAAACATGTCCTACAAGAATGTCCTTTCTACAGACCATTAAGAAGGGAATACTGGCCCAATCAGTCAACACTGAACGTTGTATGGAACTAAAACTCCTAAAAACATAAGTTTATCACAACTTTTCTCTGACAGTGCAATTCAGAAAGTGAACACAAAAAGAATATTTTTTTTTTTTTTTTTTTGAAATTTTTTTAATGAAACAAGGAGGGGGGTATTCTGTGTATGCTGGTGTTGGTTCTGCAACGTCCTGTCAAGGATACGCAAATAACTAAATGAACACAACATAGACCGTTAGCAGAAAACTTACCTTGGACAATCTCATTTTGGATGCATCTATCCTCTGTACCTTGACCCCAACAGTATTCCACCCATCATCTGTAGGTTGCTTTTCCTCCTGGCGTGCTACCAAGAAAAAACATACCAAGACTTCACTTTAGAACCAGTTTACCGAGAAAACAGTACTGGCTCCACGTTCAAACTTAATATCTGGCCCAACTTGGCGGACAACCGAGCTGTTTTTAATTGTGGCAGGTTATTTTCTTCTGACTGTAGTCGGCTGCTGTATCACCCCTACCCTCTTTTTGGACAAAGCATATACTGAGTCAGCTACTGTGCTGTGTGCATGGCGCGACACTGTGAGCTGCTTTCATTTAGAGTGCTTTTTGACTGCCCAACTTTGTTATGTATTGTGAACTCAAATGCAGATTCAGAAAATGGTGAGTGGCCTGTTGCCACACAAGTGGTATGGCCTTGTGCGATTAATTGTATGTACAACTATCAACTGATTTGTTGTAAATGCTGCTTCCACAGATGATAAACTGCCTTTCTACTGTCAGACTGTTTGTGTTAGCGCTTCTAACGGCTGCCTCATGCACTTTATGTGTGTATATGATTGGGTTTGCTGAGACTAGTCTGATTCAATTAGTTCACAAGAGACTGACAGGCAATCTGTGTGGTTTTCGTTGGCACAGAAATGAAGCAATAATGGATGATCCATTTACTTGTTCTTCTTCGCATTCACTGGCTGTTAACTCTGGTGGAAAGTTCTGGTTGTTTGTCCACCTCTAGACTATAGTCTTGTTCCAGAACCCGAGTGTTACGTGCACATCCATTTAACAGATCTGACTTAATACCTGATTACCTAAAGCTGAAAAAGTTTGGCACTAGTTTTGTGTGTGTACGCACGTGTGTGTGTGAGAGAGACCGCCACAGATTTCTAAGTCATCATCATTATGTATCCTGCCCAGCGGTGCAGGCACTTATGTCTCTCCACAGATACTGTCCCTTGGTATTTCGAATCAATTACACTGATGCTATTCCACCATGCCATGGCTTCCGGCTGTCAACATCCATCTCTGTTAGTCTGCCTCTGCTTCAACAGATCTTTCCAGTCATCATGCCTGCTCTCCAATTTCTCTTCTCATCATATGACTGAAGAACACTGCCTGCCTTTTTCTTAAAGTTGTATACAGTTTTGTAATTTCATTAGCCATTTCCAGAAAATCATCGTCAGTCACTCTGGCTGTCCATGGTATCTGCAGCCTGTGTCTACATCTCCACAGCTTCCAAGTTGTTGTTAATCTGTTCATTCACATTTCAAGATTCCCAGATATACAGCTACACTGGTTCAAGCACACACACTAAATTATAAAGGCTGGGGTTGGTTCTGCAACATCCTATAAAGGATACGCAAGTAACTTTTTAACCTGTGACTCCAATATATTTTTAAAAGCCAATTTGATGTCAAATTTTCCCATAAGCCTCAGTGATCGAGATCACAGGGTCATGGCATGAGTCAGCCAATACATTTTAGCTTTTTTAAGCCTTGGTGAATGCACCCCTTTTAATGCTTCTCTCTGTTCATGTCTATTGTTTACCCCTTTATATACCTTAATATATTTTTAATAAATGACCCCTTTTCTACACCTTCAGGCGTACTGGGTATGTAGGGCTAGACCTATATTTTATAGACCAAACGGCACAATGATGTGGCGAGTATCATGCCGGCCACCTTTACTTTCTAGGACTGTACCTGGTATCCACTCAAGGCTAGGTCGATCTGGGAGCCTAGGTCATTTCTGAGGGGAAAACCGGCCCCTGTCAGGACCCGGACCCACGACTTTCCGATCCGCAGGTGAGCGTCTAGCCACTAGACCACGGCCACTCCCATTATACTTTTTTAAATTTAAAAAAAAATGTAGATTGAATTTCTTCAAAATTTATTAGCGACCTGTGTAAATGTGTGTGTGTGTTTTTAAGGATTTTTCCAGAAATTCCTACAGGTCACGGCCCCCTTTTTTGTTTAATAGCATTCATGGGGTGAAAGGGCTATTGCCAATTTAAGGCTGGGTCAACCAGGAACACCCAAGGCATGAAGGCGGACAAGGCAGGAAAGTTGTCACACAAAGTGAATGGCTTTCCTGCATGCAGTGAGGACAGCCATGTTCTGCACAGCACCTGCCAGACGATCCTGGCATCTTTCCTCCAGATGACAGTGTTATATCGTGCTACTGGGAGGCACGAGACTCACAAAAAGGTTAAAGTTGAGACGATCCACTCCATTGCACCGGGTTTTATCCCATATGGTTCGGTCTCTCTCCGCATAACAGCCAGTCTCCTGCTGAAAGCACAGCACGAACTCTGCAGCTTTGGCGATGATCCCCAGGGAAAATACCTGTATCAAGCCTACTGTGCTTGAACCCATCTGCACCTCACAGTAGAGGCTGACCTAAATATACATCGAGGCTATTTAACCAAGTTTACTCATGGCCCAAAATATCGAAAATAAGGACTGTCACAAGCCAAAGACAAGCCCCAGCACAAAACAATCACTATCACTAATACAATTTAACTGCCAATATTCTGAGGGCCACTGGCTTGGTCTCCGCAAGCCAGATTTGACCTGCCAGCTGAAAAGCCCTGATATACATGACGATGAGGAGTATTATACTTACGCTTACTTCCCCGTCGATTACTAGTCTGGGCAGCTTCCATGCGAGGTGGCAAGGGCTGCGACTGTAAGAACTGCTTTGTGGCCTGCTCATGTTGAAAATCTTTATGGACGTCTTCAATTTTCTTGGGCCCTGTCTGTTCCTTGCGTGGAATCCAGTTGTGCTGAAATTTAAAAAATTTAAAAGCCAATGAATTTATAGTGAGCATGCATGTAGAAGCCGCAAAGATGTTTTTTTTTCTACAAAAGAACAATAAGAAAGATTGATAGGAGGAGGGAAACAAATAGAACTGGTAACCTGCATTACAATATGACAGTTCGCATGATGTGTCATCAGAATGGGAAAATTCAAGGTAACCTGCATTACAATATGACAGTTCGCATGATGTGTCATCAGAATGGGAAACCTCAAGGTAACCTGCATTACAATATGACAGTTCGCATGATGTGTCATCAGAATGGGAAAATTCAAGGTAACCTGCATTACAATATGACAGTTCGCATGATGTGTCATCAGAATGGGAAACCTCAAGGTAACCTGCATTACAATATGACAGTTCGCATGATGTGTCATCAGAATGGGAAAATTCAAGGTAACCTGCATTACAATATGACAGTTCGCATGATGTGTCATCAGAATGGGGAAACCTCAAGGTAACCTGCATTACAATATGACAGTTCGCATGATGTGTCATCAGAATGGGAAAATTCAAGGTAACCTGCATTACAATATGACAGTTCGCATGATGTGTCATCAGAATGGGAAACCTCAAGGTAACCTGCATTACAATATGACAGTTCGCATGATGTGTCATCAGAATGGGAAAACTAAAGGTAACCTGCATTACAATATGACAGCTCGCATGATGTGTCATCAGAATGGGAAAACTCAAGGTAACCTGCATTACAATATGACAGTTCGCATGATGTGTCATGAGAATGGGAAAACTCAAGGTAACCTGCATTACAATATGACAGCTCGCATGATGTGTATGTCGTGAAATGATAAGCCATTACGCATCGGTCCATAAAGCTGGTAACCTGACTTACCTGTAATCGGCACAAAATTCAAACTTGGACTCGCCCGGAAAGATATAGTCCCTTATATCTATATATATAGGCCTTTATTGGACAACATTATTATGTCTACCTTTTCTGGTTGCTTTAACTAAACTCCACTTTTAAATGTATATATCTTTGATATATATTAGAGGAGTTATTTGAGGTTTCTTAGAAACCGATGCACTCCTTGCCCATGTATACTAGGGACTTCTTTTTTTTACCAACGCCTGAAGCGTCTAAGTGACGCCATTCTCTTTGCCAGCTTCCTAGCGTCCAGACGTGTCAATCGATGCCTGTATAATTTCAATTTCATAAGGCAATCTGGAATGTCTCAGACTTTTCATATGCTTGGGTAAGTTAATTATAGTTTACGAGTACCTAAAATGATGTCTGTTAAAGTAGTCACTGCTGTAGAGAGATCAGTATCGGCTGTGGGATCACACATAATTTGACCGTTCTTCATCGCTAGAGAAGCGGATTCGAACGTAGACCTTTCCCTGTACAGACTAAATAGCCTTTGACCTCAATAACCCACCCATACTGGTAAAACTAATACCCTTATAAGTGTGTACGTTTTAAACTAACTGTGGAAGTTTGTGCATACAAAATGGGGACAGAATTAGGTCAGGACTTTGTCGACCAGTGTATGAGTGTGGTTGACCCAGATCAATGAATGGTAAGACGGGCTTTTGGGGAGTGTAAGGAATAAATGTACTGACGGTGGATATTGGTGTCTGTGTGCAGAGGGGAGGGGAGAGAGAGAGTGATATATGTGTTAGAACACTCTATCTATCTCCACTGTATATCTGACTTGCCTTCTCTTGCACTAAACAGACAGATGAATATAAGAGACTTGTGTCTCTTGGTCTGGAGAGGCATTCTGAGGAATGAAACAGGAGAGCAGGGTGGAGTAAGCAGATGGGGGATGATGACTGATGCTTGTTCTGTCTTTCCTGTCAAGATGTTACCCTCTTGGTGATGATTAATTCTGAGTTATTTCTTGACAGGATGTATCCTTTGTGAGTAGCTGGCAGAAGTTTCACAGTCCAACCAACACCCACCAACCATAACCCATCTATCAATGAACCCATTACCTACCACTTATCACCCAACTACCAAGTGTGGAGATTGATGTCAGTTTGAGGTGACATATACCCCAAACTTCCTACAGTGCCAGAACATGTGTGTAGCTCATGGACAGTGCTGCTAATGACTAGTGGGAGCCATTTGCTGTGTAATTATCCAGTTGCGGTGTCCTTTATGGTGAGGTACTCCTCCACCAGCTGATCCAGTTGAGGCAGAGTCACCAAAGACAGTCGAATCATCAGGAGCTGAGGGAAGCATCATAGACGGAAAGAGGATAAGTTCAGTTTGATGCCTTACTTGCCATATTCCTCACAGCTCACATGTTTCCCAATGATGACAATGTGTCATCTCCAGGACCTTCTGTCTGTGTAATTTTGGTGATCTAGACATTGTATCCTGGAATCCAGCTATAGAAATCTGACATCTACTTCACTATTTTCTATTTTGTACATGTTGTAATGATTACATGCATTCATTTTCATGGCTGACTTAGGTTTCTCTATTTCACCTTTTTAAATGTGTAGCATTTGTGTGTGCATGAATCTTAACTATATGTGTTAACATGGTTATGATAATGACTTATCATAACCTGGGGGCTTTCTTTAGTAAGTAGTGGGGGTGTCCAGCCAAGTGTGCCTAGGAATATGGTATTCATATACTGATATATTTTATAGTGCCAATACTTGAGTTGCCCTACTCCAGAGATAAGTTGAGCGTATATTTTCCACGGGGAATCCCTTAGACCAATACGAGCCAAACGACTCAACATAATTATCTCTGAGTGCTGTTGGTTCTGAAGGAGAAATCCTTACATTAGGCACGCGGCAGGAGTGATATGTGACAGTGTCATCAGAATGGGAAAACTCAAGGTAACCTGCATTACAATATGACAGTTCGCATGATGTGTCATCAGAATGGGAAAACTCAAGGTAACCTGCATTACAATATGACAGTTCGCATGATGTGTCATCAACTCTTATGTTGTTTAATTACAGAGGGTGTAGACTACAAGGAATTCAATGGTGTGACAGAACAACTAATATAGAACTGTAGAAGATAACTAAACAAACTCCCCTGAATCAGGAGGAGAGGAAAAGTTGCTAGTGTCAGATATGGCATACCTCTTCACAGCTTTCCAAATGTAATGCTTTTAATCTCCCAACAGGTGCTCAGCCTTATATAATCTCTCTATATACATTAATATCCCCCCCCCCCCACACACACACACACAAACAGGGAAGGTACCCTAACTTACATGCCACAATGGCTCCTACTGTCACTTACATTTCTTAAATCAATGACATCCTTGAGGGTGAATTTGATTCTTGATTTGCGCTCTTCTGCTATCTTGGCCATCTGTGAAAAATACTGGTCCATCTTGCTCTGTAATAAGCAATGATCAAAATAAATAAATCAGCACATGAAAAAAGCATCCAATTTAAAAGGGGAAAAAAAACAGACTAAATATTGTGTAAATAAATAAATCAGCAGGTGGTTTTAAAAAAAATCATATACAATTTAATCAGATAATACAATTAGGATGATTAAACAGAAATCAACATAGGATAACAATTAAGTCAACAGATGTTCTTAATAAATCAGCAAATGATTTTTAAAAAATTAAAGATGACTAAAATAATTCATTCAGTGCTAGAGGTTCCGGGTCCAATCGCCGGTAAGAGCTGGTATTTTTTCACATGGACTTCTAGCGATTCCCCCTGGTCTCTGGGTAGTCAGATCTAACACCCGTGTGCATTGTTGCTCTTGGCAGTTGGAAATTGAAAAGAGTAGTCTAACGGTGCTTCCCAGGCAAGTTTAAAATCTACCCAAAGTATTTCAGGATCCTCACCGGTGCTAAGAGCCTGTGCACTGTGCTGACTGCTTCAGACTCATGACTTGAGTTAAAAGAAGAACGGAGCACTTATAGGTTGCTACCCTTGTGCCATGGTGTTGATACGTTCAATGAAGATTGATTGGACACACGTTGAGAAAACCTGAGAACAATATAACTGAAATATCTTTGCACTGGAACCCACAGGGGCACAGAAATAAAGAAAGACCAAAAACACATAGAGAAGGAAGCTAGAGAGATGTTAAACAGATGTGGAGAGCTGCATGTGAGAGGAAAGGATAGAATGACAGCGTGAGTTAGATCAGGGCCTTTGCTCCATCTGGGGATAGAAGGTAAAAGAAGAACCCGGTCAATTAATGCTTGATAAAGTCTTATGTGTCGACTGAAAGGCGCAAATATTGCCGCCTGCTATAAACAGGCACAGAGTATTTACGTCACTCTGACGAACGTAAAGAAAAAGAAGACATCAACAGATAACAAAATAAACAGCCACAGCACCATTTTATCTTGTGCTGATTTTATATCCACATTCTCTGTCTACGTTTTCTTTTCATTCCCTTGACAATCTTTTCTTTCAACTCTTCCCCCTCACCACTTTACCCAACAAAGACAGTCATCACAGGCACCCACCTTGGCTTTGTCGGTGTCCAGATCCTTGCCCACTGTTGCGATTAGGTTGCATAAGGAAACTAGAGAGTCATCATCTTTAGCCTTCAACAGCCTGAAGATGCAGTCATGCATGATGTTCTCGGTCAGCATCTTCAGCTTGAACAGTTCTCCAATAAACCTACACAAAAAATGGATAAAACTGACGGTGTTTCCCTAAAGAAAAGATCTAACCTGAAAATAAGCCCTAGCATTTTTTTAAGATGGTCATAAGCCCTACTCTTCCTTCCATGCCGTGTGGCGCTGGTAGTCATGTCTGTCCACAACCTTCTCTCTCATGTACTTTTAATCAACTCTGGCACAGATGACCCTCGATGTCATTATGTCAAACTGTCCAGTATCTTTTCTCATGGTCCCCTTCTGCCTCTCTTCCCCTCCTAATTTCCTACTGTCACAATGTACTTCAGTTTTCTCCTTCTCATGACAAGAACAAAAAGTTTAAATTGTCTCTTTCTGATGTGGGCAATCAGTTCTCTGCGTGAGTCAGTTTCTTTTAAGACATCCTTTTTTTTCTTATCATCCGTCTATAAATCATATAAATCACGCATCCACAGCTTCCAAATAAATTTTTACTAATCAATCAACTGTCGATGATTAGGCTCTACTCTAAATATGGTTATAGTTGAGTGGATGACTTCAGTGTACCAGGTTTTATCCCATATAGCTCCGTCTCTTTGCAGAACGGCTAGCCGCCTGCCAGGAGCATGCACAGAGCACAAACTCTGTAACTCCGGCCACAATCCCCGGGTATCTCCGTTAAAAACTGCACTTGTGAACTGAAAGGCGCAGCCGTAAAATGAACCCATGACCTTCAGAGAGCGAGGCAAATGGGTTGCCCTTCGCTACAAAGACCCTCCTCCCAGCCCTAATCTAAATATAGAGCGCCAATTAAGATCGCCAGCCAGATCTTATCTGTCTGTTGGAACATAGGACAACTTTATAGAAGTAAAGAGTAATTTATAATAAATAAGTACTTAGGTACCCAGACAACGGAAGACGTATTTAAGCAGTTAAATGCAGAATAACTCAAGCAAAGGCAGAAATTTACAAAAGGGAAAATATTCTATGCAATCTTTCTTTAAAGCATTGAACTGAACTCACCACTTTACATTGGATTTATAGACTATGAAAAAGCATTTGACAGCATAGATAGGGAATCTCTCTGGAAATTGATGGGGCACTATGGAATCCCACAGAAAATTATCAACTTAGTAAAGGCAACATATAAAGACATGAAATGTCGAGTTCTTCATGAGGGAAAGCTAACAGATGCATTTGAAATAAAAACAGGTGTGCGACAGGGATGTCTTTTGTCGCCTCTCTTGTTTTTACTGGCTATAGACTGGACTATGAAAACAGTGACTGCTAACAACAAGAATGGAATTCAATGGACTCCTACAAAACAGCTTGATGATCTGGACTTCGCTGATGATATTGCTCTTCTGTCCCATTCACGGAATCAGATGCAAGATAAATTAAATATACCTAATGCGAGATCAAAGCAGCTTGGTCTGAAAATCCATAAAGGAAAGACAAAGATAATGAGAATAAATCAGGCAAATAGTAATGTGGTTTCTCTTAATGGCACCCCACTCCAAGACGTGGAGTCGTACACCTATTTAGGCAGTAATGTAGGTAAAGATGGAGGAACTGATAGAGATATTAAAATAAGAATACAGAAGGCAAGAGGGGCTTTCATAGCACTAGGGAATTTGTGGAGGTCAAAAGAAATTAAAAGAAATACTAAACTAAAAATTTTTAATGTCAAATCAGTACTATTGTATGGGGCGGAAACATGGAGAACAACCAAGGCAATTACTAATAAATTACAGACATTCATTAACTGGTGCCTGCGCAGAATAGAGGGAATAAAATGGTATGATAGAATAACTAATGTAGAACTTTGGGAGAGAAGTAAACAGGCTCCAGTGGATCAGGAAGTGAGGAAAAGACGCTGGCTTTGGATAGGGCACACACTGAGAAAACAGGAGAACAGCATTACTAGAATGTCTTTGCATTGGAACCCACAGGGGCATAGGAATAAAGGAAGGCCAAAAAACACATGGAGAAGAGAGCTGGAGAACGAGGTTAGAAAGATTGGGAGGACATGGGGAAAGCTCCATGCAATGCGAAGGATAGAACGACTTGGCGTGAGTTGGTTGAGGGCCTATGCTCCATTGGGGGATAGAAAGGCAGAAGAAGAAGAATCTTTCTTTGTCAACTGAGATTAGAAAGAGAATTCTCAAAAGGTATACCAATCTTGTCCTGATATATGGAAGTGAATCATGAACAGCTAGAAAATTGTTCAAAAAAATTATGTGGAAGCAATGGAAATGTGGTTTTATAACTAAATTATAGGAATACCCTGGACAGATTTTAAAAAAAAGGTTATGAAGATGTCTTAAAAGAAACAGTCACAAAAAGAACTGACTGCCTACGTGGAGAATAGACTAGAGACAGAAAGACTTAAAGCCATGATGAAAGTGAGGTTCCGTCAATGACCTTACTGATGATGATGATGATAACCAATGTTGACAATGACACAAACAAGTGGTATAAATGAGAACAGTTTACCTGATGTTTCCATAAAACTTTAACCTCCTCATCTTCATCTGATAGAGGGTGCTTTCAATCTTGGCATTTTTATCAGGCTGCGTGCACACACAGCCCAAAAAAAAAAAAATCATTAGCAACAAAATGTAAAGCCATTAATGAATTCAGCATAGAAAGCTAGATCAATATTTGTACACACAAGATGGTACTAAATAGACAACACTATGCTGACCACTTTTACTTCCAAGAACAATTATAGATATTTTATTTGGTCAGGGTTATTTAAAAAATCCTAAAACAGTCTTACGACAAAAATTTGGACCCATCAGAGAAGCAAACAGCGGGGAAATGTAGAGTGGGAAGCAACAATGAAATTCATAATCTGTTCAAAACTGTATACAAAAGGGAACCGAATGGTCATAGACCCCAAGGCAGACCAAGAAGACGATAGAGAGATAATGTCCAGACAGACCTACAAACACATGATGTCACTAACTGGAAAGAGAAGGCCAATCACAGAGATATGTGGAGGCGGGTGATATTCGTAGCAATGAAACCTCAAGGGTTCAGAACGCTGAAGTAGTAGTAGTAATCGATGTATTAATTTTCTCCTAACAATGAGAAAATAAGTCATTACACTATTATTACATTTTTAACTCCCACCCTCCAACAACAACAAAAACAGCGCCATTCAGTGGCACATCAGAAATATTGTTTCAAACCCAAAGAGCAACTAAATAGAGGTATTTTTTTCTCTCCCCGAAATTGAAGTGCATCTGCACAGAAAATGAGAAACCAAGAGTCTGCACACAGATGACTGATCCGTAAAATGGATGTGCACACAAAACTACAGGTTCTGGAATAATATCAACAGTCTGACAAACAACCAGCACCATCTGCCCGAGTTTACATATCCAAAAAAAAGTATAGACACACAAAAACATTGCAGATACATAAAACATTTTCTTTTTAAAACATTACAGATATATAAAACATTACAAATATACAAAACACAGATACACAAAGCACTGCAGATGCACAAAACACAACAGATATATATAACATTCAAAGAATCATAAAACTTAATCGATACATAAACATTAAGATACATCAAACGGCTACATTAAAAAAGAATATCGGTGCACCTAACTCAAGGAAGGAAAATTCCTAGAAATGTGGGAGAAACCGTGGAAACTCAAACACAGACATGAAGGACTTGATCACTTACGCCTTCCGGTAGTTCTGCTTCCATCTTTTTCCGCTTTTCCTCTGGATCCTCAAAGATGGAGGTCTTGTCAGCTTCAAACTCCTGCTGGCATTTGGTCAGCATCACCACACGGAAGGTGGCTTGGCCCGGCTTGATGTTGCTGTCAGGTGGCGGGGGGACCTTCAGCTGAAAGGGAGAGCAGGAGAAAGAGAACAATTAGCTTCAATAGTTCCTTGGGGGTGGAGGGAGTGGTGGTGGTGGGTGTGTGTGTGTGTGTGTGTGGGAGGGGTGGGGGTGAGTCACGAGAGCTTCCTTTGGGTTGGTCAGTTGGGTTCAACTGTTCTTCTCCAGGACTGCTGCCTGTAGGATTCACACCTCAAGGATGAAATACTCAAACAAAACAAATCCCCAAAACCCTGTTTAACCATTCCAGAACACTCCCTTATAGTCACAAAGTGACCAGAAGACCTTTGTGGGATGGAATAACAATAACCGGCTCTCATATTGGGGCAGACATCGCAGCTTAGCTTTAAACTTCAACACAATATGTCAAGCAAGCTTTGAAGAGTGAATGCAGAAGTTAAGAGGTTAATATCTAAACTTAACTTAGGAAATAATAAAAACAAATGACAAAAAGAAACATGTCAACTATTACGTAAACATGCCATCCGAAACAAGGAATTTCAACGTGAAATTTTCATCGCAGTGTTATTAAGGATCAGGAAATCTTTAAAAATCTTTCATACAATTGCCTTTTTGAGAAAATTTTCAAAGCCAACAAGGAATCAGAAAGTCGTCTTATTCTCTTCCACCTTGTACTTCCAAGTGTCGGAGGGAAATGTAACATTCGTTGATGAGCTCTGTCAAAAGCACTATAAAGACTGATGTTCATTTCTGTAAGGCTGTTCTTAATGCCATCATTCCATTTTTTCCGAGGTCTTTTACTCGCTCTATACCTGTAGTAACATTTTCAGCTGCTGTTCAATGCAATTACCCAGTCAATAAGAACAAAAAAGGCTAGGTCCTCTGATAAAATCTTTAAACATTTAAGTTGCTGTTATTTAATGCGATTACATAAAGAACAAGAAGAGTGGAAGACTGGGGGTGGATTCTGGATTATAATGCACAGAAAAGATAACTGTATAAAACACATAAAAGGTCATCAGAAAAATAGTATTCCAATGTGAGATTTTCACCCCAGCAAAATCGGCTAGGGCCTCTGATGAAACCTCCAACTGTTATTTAATGTGATTAACCTAAATCAACGTTAGGGGATTGGGGGATTGGGGGATAGAGATTCTGGAAGGTAAACAAGAAAACAAGAAAGAAAAAACTAACATGACTAAAATTCATAGAAAAGAGAACTGCACAATTCTTAACACAAAAGGCCATCAGAAACGAGGAATTCCAATGTTAGAGTATCATCACAGCATTATGAATACATGTTCATCACTTGGCTAGGACCTCTGATAAAACCATCAAGTAACTGTTGTTTAACCCAATTTCAACCATAAAAAGGAAGTGGAATAACTGGACTCGAATTCACAGAAAAGAGATCTGCATAAAATTTAACAAAAAAGGCCATCAGAAACGAGGAATTCCAATATGAGATTTTCATCACAGCATTATGAAGACAAGTTCATCACTTGGCTAGGATATTTGATAAAAAATACAAACTACTGTCGTTTAAAGCAAATACCCAAAGTGAACAGGGAAAAGTAAGAAAAAACTAACATGACTAAAATTCATAGAAAAGAGAACTGCACAATTCTTAACACAAAAGGCCATCAGAAACGAGGAATTCCAATGTTAAGAGTATCATCACAGCATTATGAATACATGTTCATCACTTGGCTAGGACCTCTGATAAAACCATCAAGTAACTGTTGTTTAACCCAATTTCAACCAGAAAGGGGAAGTGGGATAACTGGACTCAAATTCACAGAAAAGAGAACTGCATAAAATTTAACACAAACACAAAAGGCCATCAGAAACGAGGAATTCCAATATGAGATTTTCATCACAGCATTATGAAGACATTTTTATCACTTGGCTAGGTCCTCTGATAAATTGCTGTTATTTAATGCGATTACATAAAATCAACAAGAAGGGTGGAAGATTGGGGGTGGATTCTGGATTTAAAATGCACAGAAAAGAGAACTGCATAAAACACATAAAAGGTCATCAGAAACACAGTATTCTAATGTGAGATTTTCATCCCAGCAAAATGAAGTTCATCGGCTAGGACCTCTGATGAAACCTTCAACTGTTATTTAATGTGATTAACTTAAATCAACGTGGGGGAGGGGTGGGTAGGGAGAGGGGGATTCTAGACTAAAATTCACAGAAAAAAGAAATGCATAAAACCTAAAGCAAAGGCCATCAGAAACGAGGAATTCCAATGTGAGAGTTTCATCACAGCATTATGAATACATGTTCATCACTTGGCTAGGACCTCTAATAAAACCATCAAGTAACTGTTGTTTAACCCAATTACCCAAAGTCAACGAGAAAGGGGAGGTAGGATAACAAGACTAAAATTCACAGAAAAGAGAAAAGAACTGCATAAAACTTAACACAAAGGCCATCATAAACAAAGAATTCCAATGTGAGATTTTCATCACAGCATTATAAGGATAAGTTCATCCCCTGGCTAGGATATTTGATTAAAAAAAAAAGAAACAACTGTCGTTTAAAGCAAATACCCAAAGTGAACAAGAAAAAGAAAGAAAAAAAACTAAAATTAACAGAAAAGAGAACTGCATAAAACAACACAAAAGGCCATCAGAAACGAGGAATTCCAATGTTAGAGTATCATCACAGCATTATGAATACATGTTCATCACTTGGCTAGGACCTCTGATAAAACCATCAAGTAACTGTTGTTTAACCCAATTTCAACAAGAAAGGGGAGGTGGGATAACTGGACCAAAATTCACAGAAAAGAGAACTGCATAAAACTTGAAACAAAGCCCATCAGAAACGAGGAATTCCAATGTGAGATTTTCATCACAGCACTATGAAGACAAGTTCATCACCTGGCTAGGATATTTGATTTAAAAAAAAAAAGAAACAACTGTCGTTTAAAGCAAATACCCAAAGTGAACAAGAAAACAAGAAAGAAAACAACTAACATGACTAAAATTCATAGAAAAGGGAACTGCACAATTCTTAACACAAAAGGCCATCAGAAACGAGGAATTCCAATGTGAGAGTTTCATCACAGCATTATGAATACATGTTCATCACTTGGCTAGGACCTCTGATAAAACCATCAAGTAACTGTTGTTTAACCCAATTTCAACCACAAAGGGGAAGTGGGATAACAGGACTCAAATTCACAGAAAAGAGAACTGCATAAAACTTAACACAAACACAAAAGGCCATCAGAAACGAGGAATTCCAATGTGAGTTTTTCAGCACAGCATTATGAAGACAAGTTCATCAGTTGGCTAGGTCCTCTAAAAAAAACCTTTAAGTTGCTGTTATTTAATGTGATTACATAAAATCAACAAGAAGGGTGCGGGATTGGGGGTGGATTCTGGATTAAAATTCACAGAAAAGAGAACTGCATAAAACCTAAAGCAAAGGCCATCAGAAACGAGGAATTCCAATGTGAGATTTTCATCACAGCATTATGAAGACAAGTTCATCACTTGGCTAGGATATTTGATAAAAAATACAAACTACTGTCGTTTAAAGCAAATACCCAAAGTGAACAGGGAAAAGGTAAGAAAAAACTAACATGACTAAAATTCATAGAAAAGAGAACTGCACAATTCTTAACACAAAAGGCCATCAGAAACGAGGAATTCCAATGTTAGAGTATCATCACAGCATTATGAATACATGTTCATCACTTGGCTAGGACCTCTGATAAAACCATCAAGTTACTGTTGTTTAACCCAATTTCAACCAGAAAGGGGAAGTGGGATAACTGGACTCAAATTCACAGAAAAGAGAACTGCATAAAATTTAACACAAAAGGCCATCAGAAACGAGGAATTCCAATGTGAGATTTTCATCACAGCATTATGAAGACATTTTCATCACTTGGCTAGGTCCTCTGATAAAACCTTTAAGTTGATGTTATTTAATGCGATTACATAAAATCAACAAGAAGGGTGGAAGATTGGGGGTGGATTCTGGATTAAAATGCACAGAAAAGAGAACTGCATAAAACAACACATAAAAGGTCATCAGAAACATAGTATTCCAATGAGAGATTTTCATCCCAGCAAAATGAAGTTCATCGGCTAGGACCTCTGATGAAACCTTCAACTGTTATTTAATGTGATTAACTTAAATCAACGTGGGGGGGGGGGGGGGGGGAGGGGGGGGAGGGGGGAAGGGGGGGGGGGGGGAGAGGGGGATTCTAGACTAAAATTTACAGAAAAGAGAAATGCATAAAACCTAAAGCAAAGGCCATCAGAAACGAGGAATTCCAATGTAAGTTTCATCACAGCATTATAAGGATAAGTTCATCCCCTGGCTAGGATATTTGATTAAAAAAAAGAAACAACTGTCGTTTAAAGCAAATACCCAAAGTGAACAAGAAAAAGAAAGAAAAAAAAACTAAAATTAACAGAAAAGAGAACTGCATAAAACAACACAAAAGGCTATCAGAAACGAGGAATTCCAATTTGAGAGTTTCAATCACAGCATTATGAATACATGTTTAGCACTTGGCTAGGACCTCTGATAAAACCATCAAGTAACTGTTGTTTAACCCAATTACCCAAAGTCAACGAGAAAGGGGAGGTGGGATAACAAGACTAAAATTCACAGAAAAGAGAACTGCATAAAACTTAACACAAAGGCCATCATAAACGAAGAATTCCAATGTGAGATTTTCATCACAGCATTATGAAGACAAGTTCATCACCTGGCTAGGATATTGATTTAAAAAAAAAAGAAACAACTGTCGTTTAAAGCAAATACCCAAAGTGAACAAGGAAACAAGAAAAAAAACAACTAACATGACTAAAATTCATAGAAAAGAGAACTGCACAATTCTTAACACAAAAGGCCATCAGAAACGAGGAATTCCAATGTTAGAGTATCATCACAGCATTATGAATACATGTTCATCACTTGGCTAGGACCTCTGATAAAACCATCAAGTAACTGTTGTTTAACCCAATTTCAACCAGAAAGGGGAAGTGGGATAACTGGACTCAAATTCACAGAAAAGAGAACTGCATAAAATTTAACACAAAAGGCCATCAGAAACGAGGAATTCCAATGTGAGATTTTCATCACAGCATTATGAAGACATTTTCATCACTTGGCTAGGTCCTCTGATAAAACCATCAAGTTAATGTTATTTAACGATTACATAAACGTCAAACAAGAAGGGTGGAAGATTGGGGGTGGATTCTGGACTAAAATTCACAGAAAAGAGAACTGCATAAAACTTAAACAAACACAAAGGCCATCAGAAACGAGGAATTCCAATGTGAGATTTTCATCACAGCATTATGATAAAACAAGTTCATCAGTTGGCTAGGACCTCTGATAAAACCTTTCAATTGCTGTTATTTAATGTGATTACATAAAATCAAGGTGAGGGGGGGGGGGGGGAGTTCAGGGGGGAGGGTGGGGGGGATGGGGGAGGGGATTCTGGATTAAAATTCACAGAAAAGAGAACTGCATAAAACCTAAAGCAAAGGCCATCAGAAACGAGGAATTCCAATGTGAGATTTTCATCACAGCATTATGAAGACAAGTTCATCACTTGGCTAGGATATTTGATAAAAAATACAAACTACTGTCGTTTAAAGCAAATACCCAAAGTAAACAGGGAAAAGTTAAGAAAAAACTAACATGACTAAAATTCATAGAAAAGAGAACTGTACAATTCTTAACACAAAAGGCCATCAGAAACGAGGAATTCCAATGTAAGAGTATCATCACAGCATTATGAATACATGTTCACCACTTGGCTAGGACCCCTGATAAAACCATCAAGTTACTGTTGTTTAACCCAATTTCAACCAGAAAGGGGAAGTGGGATAACTGGACTCAAATTCACAAAAAAAGAACTGCATAAAATTCAACACAAAAGGCCATCAGAAACGAGGAATTCCAATGTGAGATTTTCATCACAGCATTATGAAGACATTTTCATCACTTGGCTAGGTCCTCTGATAAAACCTTTAAGTTGATGTTATTTAATGCGATTACATAAAATCAACAAAAAGGGTGGAAGATTGGGGGTGGATTCTGGATTAAAGTGCACAGAAAAGAGAACTGCATAAAACACATAAAAGGTCATCAGAAACACAGTATTCCAATGTGAGATTTTCATCCCAGCAAATTGAAGTTCATCGATTAGGACCTCTGATGAAACCTTCAACTGTTATTTAATGTGATTAACTTAAATCAACGTGGGGGAGGGGGGGGGGAGAGGGGGAAAGGGGTGGGGGGAGAGGGGGATTCTAGACTAAAATTTACAGAAAAGAGAAATGCATAAAACCTAAAGCAAAGGCCATCAGAAACGAGGAATTCCAATGTGTGAGTTTCATCACAGCATTATGAATACATGTTCATCACTTGGCTAGGACCTCTGATAAAACCATCAAGTAACTGTTGTTTAACCCAATTACCCAAAGTCAACAAGAAAGGGGAGGTGGGATAACGACTAAAATTCACAGAAAAGAGAACTGCATAAAACTTAAAACAAAGGCCATCAGAAACGAGGAATTCCAATGTGAGATTTTCATCACAGCATTATGAAAACAAGTTCATCACCTGGCTAGGATATTTGATTTAAAAAAAGAAACAACTGTCGTTTAAAGCAAAGTGAACAAGAAAACAAGAAAGAAAAAACTAACATAACTAAAATTCATAGAAAAGGGAACTGCACAAATCTTAACACAAAAGGCCATCAGAAACGAGAAATTCCAATGTGAGATTTTCATCACAGCATTATGAAGACAAGTTCATAACTTGGCCAGGACAACAAGAAAAAAAAAAAGGGGGGGGGGGGGGGGGAATAGCTGGACTAGAATGCATAGAGAAAAGAACTGCATAAATTAACACATTAAAAGTCATAATAAACGAGAAATTCTAATTTGAGATTTTCACCACATCCCAAATCTTATCACACAACGGCTATCCCCCGAATAACGGTCACAAATTATCGAGGCCAAAAAAATATACCCTAACAGGACCTCAGTCAAGTGTCAATTGCAGACTTCCCGGTGACTTAAATTGCGCACTTCCGGCAACTTCCACCACTACCAAGAGTATCCCTCCATGCAGCGTGGATTGGGGCTAAACTAGATGGCTGGGACACACGAACAGCAGCTAACGCATTTCACTGCAGCTTTCTTTATTTTTTTTGCTCGTGAGTCTTAGCCATCTAGCTTAGCCCTAATCCACGCTGCTCCCACCCCGCGTGAGTGGCGTGCAGGATACTCTCGGCGGTGGCGGTATTGTCCCCGGAAGTTCGCAATTCGGCGGTGGTGGTATAGTTCCCGGAAGTTTGCAACTGACACGTGACTGAGGCCCTGTTTAGGGTATATTTTCGACCTCAATAATTTGGGACTGTTATTTGGAGGATAGACTAAACAACTATTATTTTCTAGAAATAGACACAGTTAACGAGAATAACTGGATTTTGGTGCTGTAAGACTGTATTTTGTGACAGTAAATGATGCTATTCCAAGGATGCAATACTTTACACTCAAGTTACAACTTCTGATATTCGACCACTCACTGATAAACAATTGGCTGCTTACATCCAAGAAAATATTTGACATCAGCGTAAAAACCAAAATGAATAGGAAATGGAGATCTCCGAGGGAAGTAATACCTCCAGAAGACAAGATATCAGAAACAACTTATTCCAGAGTTTCATCACAACATTATGACGACAAGTTCGCCACTTGGCAAAGAGTTCTGATAATGCATTAATCAAACAATCATCCGTTTCAGGGAAATATCTGTTCTCCTTCTTCTTTTCTCTTTTCTCCTGGAATGTCTCACGGTGTCATGGAAGTAAGAGCTCTCTAAAACAGGCCCTTCGTTCGCTTCGTATATAGTACTTTTCAGCATCTCTTAAATTTCTGCAGTGACACTGAAAAATATGTATATGAAGTGATACTTCTAATTATCTGTTGACATCAAGAAAACAGAAAAATGACTTAACTAAAACTCATTAAATCCTATGTGGGTCCCAAATATCTACTATTTCCTTTTGTGGGTTCCAGGTCCCAATGATCTCTGTGGGGGTGGGTTGAGTTGGATTTACTCACTGCTCCTTAACAAGCATGTAAAAGGTGGAAAACTGTTAAAATCTGACGTGATGAGCTGAAAGGCGTAGACAAGGCAAGGCGAGCCACCTGTTAACTCTAACACAACATCAAGGGCAGGTACAGAAAAAGAATCCCTATGTGGGAGCCACATTTGGAAAGAAGGGATAAACCCACTGCCCCCTTAACAAGCATGTTGTAAAAGATGACTAATTCGAGGTGTTTCTCTCGAAGTCTCTGTGCATCTGCCTGAGAGGTGAAGAGCCAACAGTCTGCACACAAATAAACAAGATCTGTAAAATGGATGTGCATGTAAAACTTAAGACAAACAAACAGAACATTCGGCCAGATTTTACAGCCGAAGAATAAACAAGTTGTAATTAACTATGTTTTTTTTTTAACTAAAGAAAAAAGAAAAGAGAACACACAAGTTTGTTCACATAAAAATGCAGCACAAGTGACCTACTGAAGACATGACCTTGCATAGCTGCGCATAGGCTTCCACAAACTTGGTTTCAATCGTCACCTGCAGGCAGAAAACGAAACCAGATATCCGGTATTGCACTTAGATTACTATAAATCACTTACAAAACATCATGATTAATTACACAGGCATTATCAATCAAAACAAATTACACCCACATCAATCCTAATCGATCACACAATTTTCAGGAATCTTTTGCATGCAAAAAGAGGAAAATGTGGAATTAAGGAGTAGTATTAAAAAAAGGCAACATAAGAAGAGGAGAGGGAGAGTTAAAATTGAAAGAGGAGAAAAACTGGAAGGTGGAAGACATAAGAAACAGAAGGCAAAGCAGAATAAACAAAAAGATGAGAACAAAGAAAAAAAAATGGAAAAGAAGAGCATCATAAGAAAGGGAAGAAAAGAAAAGAGACGCATAAGAAAAACAAGGGGCAGCAGCATAAGAAAAGAAGATAAAGAAGAACAGCTGGGAGAAAAAAACATCTAAGAAAACAGAAGCAAAAATAGCAGAGGCAAACGCAGAAAAAGAAGACAAGACAGGAGCTCGACCAGAAGGCTGGATGCTTCTGTACTGACATATTGTGAGCAACAGCTAAAAATACATGATACGGACCTTGTCAAAGATGATATTGACTAGAGCTTGAAGATCCTCATACGTCTGAATATTCAGGCTTTTCATTTCCTCTGCCAGTTTCTCAAAGTTTGTTGGTGTCAGTCGATTCATTATAAACAGCACTTGAGACTCCAGTGTCTTATTCTGAAATTAAGAAACACACAAGCTGTTAACTTCCAGAAAAGTGCTGGGAAAAAAGCAAAATACATTCAAGTGAATGAATAAACTATTTTCAAATAAGCCACTAAAATTAGAACTGTTAAATTTTCATCACATTCGTTGTGAACATCAGCTCATCACCTCCCTCTTACTGCGAGTTTAACAATGAATATTGTTGCTTCGTCTGCATTTGTTGTGTTGTGATTTACAGCCAGTCTGCAACATCTGCACCATTCGGTCCAACATATCTCATTCTAGCAAACCCCTAATTAATTGCCTTTTACGAGATGGAAAGGGGGGGGGGGGGGGTGTGTGGCTATTCTTTTCCTCCAAAAAAAAGGGGGGTCCCAGATGCCACACACATAGGGACTAGAAAGTATTCATCAAATAGTTATCTGTTCCAGGAGAATACCTGAAAACAAGAAAAGCTACAGAATTTTAAAATCTAGAATAAAACAGAGATAACTGTGTTGTGCTCGTTTACAGCACAGCTGCGATATTTGCACCTTTTTGCCATCTCTAGCTTTTTCAGGCATTTGTGCCAGTGCTAACTTTCCCGGTTAACCTTATGGACCTCGAACAGACTCACTGTCATGTTATCTTGTGTTTCTTAGTTTACAGGTGGTACCCTTCATCAGGACGGTCCAGAGAGTTATATATAATGCAGGCAGGGTAGCCCTTGGAGAGAGAAGACAAGGGCAGAACACTTGCCAAAATCCATGGAGGCTTCCATAAATGCAGACCCAATATATCACTCTGGCTCTGCCTTCGCCTAAGGAACCATTACGTCCTCCTCGTGGACTGTTTACCTCATACATTTAAGCCTCCGTGCAGAGTACAGGGCATTGATTCAGAGGCTCCGGGTCGATGGTATCCTTTGGATATTTTCTTCAGATTATGTCAGTGTGTTGGGAAACGAGCAGGCGGGTTCTGCATCACTTGGTGGTGAACTGATGAAATAAGCTAGATGTTGTTGAGAGCGAGTTAACAGTGCAGTAGCACAAACAGATCATTCTGGTCTAAGGTGATTGGCACTACGGAGAGTTACCAGGGGATCTGGCTGATGCTTAACACTTAAAGGGAAAGGTGAGACGGGTGTACAATTAGTTACTAGTACCATCATAACTTAAAAAGCCTGCTCCTTGTGGCAAGGTGTTCATCAGCGTCCGTGTCGCCCCTTGGCTGCCAGGTAGATGACTTCCTCACACTCCCCCCCCCCTCCCCCATTTACAGTATAAATATAAGGGAAATGTAACATTTAGGAAAAAACCTCACCTTCAGAATGCAATCCTACCATTTACAGATTATTGTTAAGTTATTCAGCATGACTATCAAAAGTATGGGGTCCGTTACAGACCTGAGAAGATAAGAGGGGTCTGTATGTCTTTGCGTTTGGGAGCCACCAGCCCAGTGTAACACTCATACAAACAAGCAAGCATACCTTTTCAGCAATTTCCCCGGCAGACAGCTGCTTTGGGGTAGGCTTCCAAGGCTTCTCACTCTGATGTAAAGGCTTGACGCTGTCTTGTAAAGACACACTTTTGATGACCCGTTGGGGCATCATGAGGTCAGGTCTCTGCCTGTTGCGGCTGCTTGTGCTGCCTATTAGCGGCGCATTCTGTAGGAAGGACACATTCATTATCAAGCAATGCAGTTGGGAAAAAATGAGATCTGTGAAATACAAATTATTTTAAGAATGGATTAGATGGGCTAGTGTGGTTATGCAAGATGCCATCAGCCAAGTGACTAGAGCCCTGGGTTTTGATATGGGAGACCAGGTTCAATCTGTGGTAAGGAATGGAGATTTGTTTGTCCAACTAAACAATCCTAGCTTGCATAAGTTTTTGATGACTGCACTAGTCATGCGCCTCAAACAGACTCACAATGTCTTACGCACTACCCCATTCAACTGCCCTAAAAGTGACATACAGGAAGTAAGGACAGAAATTGACAGTATGAGTCTCTATGCCCTATTCATGTTGTTCACAAAGCATTCACATATGATCTCCAATGTTGCCTGTCTGCTACTTTTCTGTACATGGTATATCTGTCTATATCCTCTTTGTATCATTGTTGACACATAAGGCATTCACATATGATCTCCACTGCTGCTTTTGGGTGCATGGTATATCTGTCTTTACCCTCTTTGTGTTGATGTTGACACATAAAGCCTTCACAAATGATCTCCACTGTTGCCCGTCTGCTACTTTTCTGCACATAGTATGTTTGTCTATATCCTCTTTGTGTCGATGTTGACACATAAAGCCTTCACATATGATCTCAACTGTTGCCCGTTTGCTACTTTTCTGTACATGGTATATCTGTCTATATCCTCTTTGTGTCATTGTTGACACATAAGGCATTTCACAAATGATCTCCACCGCTGCTTTTCTGTACATGGTATATCTGTCTTTATCCTCTTTGTGTCATTGCTGACACATAAAGCATTCACATATGATCTCAACTGTTGCCCGTCTGCTACTTTTCTGCACATGGTATATCTGTCTTTATCCTCTTTGTGACATTGTTGACACATAAGGCATTCATGGATGATCCCCACTGTTGCTGGTCTGCTGTTTTCCTGTGCAGTGTATATCTGTCTGTATCTTCTGTGTGTTGTCATTGACACATAAAGTATTGGTGCCAGACTGCTGCTGTTCTGTGCTTGTTAAGTTGAACATTTCTCTGTCTACCATTCAATTTCCAGGTTATTTTCTTGAGGTTGTCCAAATCTTTTTCCAGCTGCTTTTCACCTGCTGTGCACCAGAGATGATAAACCAACAGATTGCATACAAAAAGCTAGATCTGTAAAACAGATGTGTATGCACACACACAAAATTCTGGAACAAAACCATAATCCAGAAGAGGATAAACACCTGAGAGATGTCTTTGTCAGTGTCATGAGGCATTCTACAGGTGCAAGTCATCTCTATTTTCCTTCTCTGATGTTCACCAGTGATGATCATTTTGTCATCTCCTCATTTCATCATCTTGTTCATCACAACATTTGCAGGATTCTCCTTAAGACATTAAATTTTAAAAGTCCTTAGTTTATGGTAACACCCGATGTCATTTCCAACACTCACCAGATAACTGATTCTTCAATCATCACATTAGTGACTCTGTTATACCATTTAACACCCCCCCCCCCCCCCAACGCTGTGCAGGCCCCAGTTAATTAACATTTGCAGTTTATTAATAACTGTTTTAGTATTGTCTACTGCCATGTGCGTTCCGAAAACCCATTCTGAGGAGTATAGAGCCACTGCCCTTCTAACAAGCATACCGTAAAAGGCGAGTAATTAAAAGTTTTTCCTTTAAAGTCAGGGTGCATCTGCTTGAGAGGCCAGGAACTAACAGTGTGCATACAAATAAGGATGATCTGTAAAACAGATGTGCACACAATACTCAAGTCCTGAAATAAGAATAATATAGAACAGAACTAACAATCATCACTTTCCACCAGACTTTACATCTAGCGAATGCTAAGAAGAGCATTATTCAGTAAAGAAAACGAATCAGTAAGAAATATTGTGAGATAGCTACAGAGGCGTGGTGTTGACTGAAGAATGATGGGAACACAACGGACATGACGATTTATGAACAAATAGAAAACAGGCAACACTGACCCTCACGTTTCCGCTGGGCTGGAAGAATGCTGGGGTGAAATCCACTGTGTTTGCTCGACGACTTCCAGTAAGTGGCTGAGAAGAGAGAGAAATTTTATTTTATTTTTTAAAACAGTATGAACATTTTTTTTAAACTTCAAAAAGGTTTTCACAAGCGAATGAGGTTTTTGTGGCAATTATAAAGAGAGAGGAAGGTGGTCAGAAAACTTTAATTTTAACCAAAAAACCCATTCTAGCATAAACCCTCTGAACCTAGTTCTAACAGACAGAACCCCTAAAATCATAATGTACCAGTTCTAGAAACAACAAAAACTCATCAATCATGAACAGTAAGTATACCAATTCTACCATAAAAGCTCTCAAATCATAATATACCATTTCTAGAAACAACAAAAACTTATCAATCATGAACAGTTAGTATACCAATTCTACCATAAAAGCTCTCAAATCATAATATACCAGTTCTAGAAACAACAAAAACTTATCAATCATGAACAGTTAGTATACCAATTCTACCATAAAAGCTCTCAAATCATAATATACCAGTTCTAGAAACAACAAAAACTTATCAATCATGAACAGTTAGTATACCAATTCTACCATAAAAGCTCTCAAATCATAATATACCAGTTCTAGAAACAACAAAAACTCATCAATCATGAACAGTTAGTATACCAATTCTACCATAAAAGCTCTCAAATCATAATATACCAGTTCTAGAAACAACAAAAACTTATCAATCATGAACAGTTAGTATATCAATTCTACCATAAAAGCTCTCAAATCATAAACAATATACCAATTCTAGCAATAACAAAATATCCTCAATCATAAACAATATAACAATTCTGGTAGAAAACTTCTCAAATCATAAACAATATACCAATTCTAGCAATAACAAAATATCCTCAATCATAAACAATAAAACAATTCTGGTAGAAAACTTCTAAAATCATAAACAATATACCAATTCTAGCAATAACAAAATATCCTCAATCATAAACAATATAACAATTCTGGTAGAAAACTTTAAAAATCATAATGATCTGCCCCTGCCTTCCCTTGAGGGCCAACTGTTCCACAGGGGGCTGCCCCAAAGGGGTACTCCGGGGGCAATACCTGCGGCGAAGGAGACAAAATGGACACCACACAAATCAGGCAACGTCTCGACCCACACAAAACAATGGCCACAGTCACCCTAGAAATAGGCCTGACGTCTTCCTTCGAAGTCGGCGTACAGCTGCCCAAGAGGCAGGGAAATGAAAAACGGTTGTACACGCAAAAATCAGGTCCAGGTGAAAGCCAAAAGTCCAAGCGGACGATTAACCGGGACCTTCCACTGGAATTCACAGCCGGTGTTCGATGAAAAAAAAAAAAATAAACAATATACCAATTCTAGCAATAACAAAATATCCTCAATCATAAACAATATAACAATTCTGGTAGAAAACTTCTAAAATCATAAACAATATACCAATTCTAGCAATAACAAAATATCCTCAATCATAAACAATAAAACAATTCTGGTAGAAAACTTCTCAAATCATAAACAATATACCAATTCTAGCAATAACAAAATATCCTCAATCATAAACAATATAACAATTCTGGTAGAAAACTTCTAAAATCATAAACAATATACCTCCCCATGAAGATTCTGGAGCTCTATTATGTGGGGAAAACAAGAAAACTGCCTCCTCAACAAGCATGTCATAAGAGTTTACTAACTGGGGGTTTCCTTCAAAGTGGCAAAGAACAACCAACTGCGTACAATAAGACAGTAAAAGCGGATTTATACGTGAAATTCAAGCCCTGGCAGGAATCAAAAGTCCAAAAGGTCGCAAAAACCAGGACTTTCCGCCAGAGCTTATAATCCGTTAACGAAGAAGTTGTAGTCAACAATAAACACATTCCAGCAACAACAATAAATGCTCAATCATTACAATATATCAATTCTAAAATACCCACCCCCTTCATCATTAACAATATACTAATTCTAGCCTCAAAACAATCCTCAGTCGTAAACAATATAGGAATTATAGTTTTAATACACATTTAAAAAAAAAAAAACTTCAAAAAAAAAATCAAATCAAACTTCTCCTTGACATTCATCAGCAGTAAACTTCAGCAGAAGGTTCTGGTTATTTGTCTACTTCTGGACTTTTGACTTGTTCCAGAACTTTTTCAGTGTTTTTTTTTTTGCGTGCACATCTGTTTTACAGATCTATCTTATCTGTATGTACACTTCTGATTTCTTGCGTCTCGGGCAGATGCACTTCAACTTCAAAGGAAACACCCTAATTAGTCGCTTTTAACCATGTTATACAGATACAATGTTAACAGACCCAGAGGTCGACCAGGCAGAAGAAGGACTGCAGAAACAGAGACACTGAAAAGTGCTTTAAAGGAAGCGAACAGAAGGGCCTGTTCTAGAGATCTCTTCCTGTCCTGACGCACTGCAGGAGTAGAGAAAAGAACGAGAAGAACAATACTTACTAGAGGTTTAGTGAGTCTATTCCTTCTTGCCCTCCAACAATGAGACCCCAGAACCCACAGTGGGGAAAAGTCACAAACAATATGCCAATTAAAGAAAAAAGTGATAAACAATATATTTTTTCTAGAAAAAAAAAACTCCCAAAATAACCAATTTCAGCAAACCCTAAATTAGTCCCCTTTTATCCCTATGTGGGTTCCGAGGACCCATTGTTGGGAAAACCAAGACCAACTGCCTCCCCCAAAGCATGTCATAAAAGTTTAATTGGGGGCTACCTTCGAAGTCAAGAGTCCATCTGCCTGAGAGGCAAGGAAACAACAATCTGCATACAAATAAGTCCAGATCTGTAACAAGGATGGGCACACAACACTCAGATTCAGAACAATACGTAAGTCTAGAGATGGATATAGAGATGGACGAACAACCAGAATTTTCCGCTGTAGTTTACAGCCAGTGAACGCGAAGTAGTAGTAGTAGTTCCCCCTTTACATACAACTGCTTGTTAAGGTGACTTGCCTGTTAGGGCGACAATTAGTCGATTTTCCCTACCCCCAAATGGAGACCCCGGTACACACACAGGAAAACCATTTGCAACATACCAAATCTAAGATAATCTCCGGCAAGTCAGGCAATCCCTTTGGTTTGGCCTGAGAAGACGGACAATCCCTGAGTTCCAAAAGGTAAGCACTGTCATACTGGAGCCTGCCATCTGCGAACATCCAAACAACACAATGTGAAAAACTGGACCTCAGTCTTTAGGATGGGCTGATTTGATTCAAAAAAACATCTGAGCACACTTAGTCAGCATCACATAATCACTTACTGGTGTTGCTAATCATGCTTCACCCTACCTTGTGATCAACAACAGCATGTTTCAGTTCATGAGCTAACACCCTCAAAAGCCATAAGAAAAGGTTGCCTTTCACCCAGCGAATGCTAAAAAAATAGGCCATAAACCCATGGAAATTCCCTGTAAACATTCTTTGAAAAAAAAAAACTATGTTACAGTTCTCCCAGCCAATTTTTAAAATGTGTTTTCTACATGTTAAATCTGTTAGGATATATAGATATATAAAGCTGGTAATAAATAAACATGAACAGAAGTGAAGCATTACATGGAATACATTTCCTAATACCTAAAAAGAAAAACCATAAAATTATCAGGTGACTCATGCCATGACCTCTATCAGTGAAGCTTACGGGAAATTCTTTTCAATTTGGCTTTTTTAAAAGCCATTGGGGTCACTACAAGATCACCACTAGGAGCTATTTTTGGTACTATATTCATATCCTTGCCTATTAAACACTGCACAGGCACACACAGAACTAATGCAGTTTAACTACACTTTCTGAGAACAGCATGTTAGTGATCTTTTGTCTTTGCGTCTCATCCTCTTTCCAAACATTTAGACCACTCGTCACTTTTTTTTTAAATTTAGACCACATCATGTTTAGATCACAAATCACATTTTTTAGATCACTCATCACGAATACATCACTCAAAACATTTGAAAATTCATCAAAATTAAATCACTCATCAATCACTATTACACCACTCATCACAATTAAATCACTTATCTCAATTACGCCAAAATTACTTATTATAGTAGCAGTTAAAGACAAACTAGAAAAGACTCAACAAACCTTCTGTGTCTGCCCTTTAAAAAAAGGTGGTTTGGCACGCTGCATTGTTTACAGCTTGGCTGCGATATCAGACAAGTGCACTCAGGCTTTAAAGAAAACATCCCAAATTGGTCACCTCTTACGACACGCATGTTTGGGGGTAGTGGGTCTATTCTAGATTTGCCCTAAAATCCTCCCGCGGAGATTACTGCTTCAATAGCCTTCACTTTGTTCCCCCCATATCACACACACTGAGAACCTTAGCTTACAGCAAATCCTGCAGCATTTAGCCTTAGTCGAGGTTTCAACTTTACTACAATCTGGTCACCCCATACTTACTCCGTTCCTGTGCCACTGAAAAATAAATAAAACGTTCCTTATTGTACCATTCGAAAAACTGGGGGGGAGGGAGGGGGGGGGGGGGGTGGGGGGGGGGGGGGGGGGGGGGGGGGGGGGGGGGGGGGGGGGGGGGGGAAACAGTGCCGACAAAATTCAGAAATATGCAGCTCTACTAGAATCTTAAAGTGCTTATGCCAGAACAATATATGTTGTTAATATTTTGTTGGTGTGCTTTCTAATTTATTTAATAAAGTGTCAAAACAGCTATGTCAATTGGTCCACACGCTGAATTTTTATGGAAACCCCTGGAGATCGTTCCCGGAGCCACAGTGTTTGTGCAATGCTCTTGGCAGGCAGCTAGCTGTTCTCAGAGAGATCAAGGCACATGGGAAAAACCTGGTGCAATGAAGTCAACTAGACTCCAAATTTATTCTGCTGCTTTTTCTTCTTTTCTTCAGGGCCTTAGGGTAAAGTTTTAAAAAAGCATAAACACACCCAACAAAAATTATTTTTCTTTGGTTGCCGAAATTTGAAGATTTTTTTTTTTAAAGATTCTTATTCGCAGTGGGTGGGTGGGTGTGTGTGTGTGTGTGTGTGTGTGTGTGTGTGTGGTGGGGGGTGGAACGCAAAAGAAGAAGAAACAGCATCTTTAAATAAAAGAGAAAGGAAAAAAGTAACAAATGCAACATAAGAATGAAAGTAAACTCTAACATGAACTGAAACCATACCTTTTCTACTACCTCTGGTTACTGTCCTCTCAGAGGACGGTTTAACTGGGCCTGTTTCTTCATCCACTTCTGAAATCTGTTCCTTCTTGTCGCCAGCATCAAGTCTGGCAACCAAGTCCTGAGTTTCATTCTCCTCACTGACTTTGTGGTTTACAGACAAAGATTTGCGGACACTTTCACTAGTTTGTGTCAGTTCGGCAACTGACTCCTGTTTAGGGCCACTATCTGCAGAATTTTCTAAATGTTCCGAGATGCTCTGTATACTGCTTGCTGGCAGTTCTGTTGCCTGTGAGTTTTGAATTTTGGAAGAGTCCAATTTGTTGGCTAATATCACAGAGTTGGTTGTGGGTGCTGATTCTTTAGCTGTGTTGCCCTCTTCAGGCAAAGATGTGCAGGGGTGATCTGTCAGTACCTCCTCTTGCTGCTGAGACAGAGTGGCTTCAGACAGCTGGCGGGGAGGCGTTTGTTCAATGTCTAAACCTGCTGCTTGTTCTTGTGGGGTTGGGGGTAAAGATGGCGGTGCTTTGGCATCTGGGACAGTAGCAGTGTCCCGGAGGACAACAGGTGAATCCTGTGGAGGTGCAGCCTCCTCTTTGGAGTTCTTGCTGGCGTCATCCGTGACAGATGATGTAACTGATGACTTGCTGTCCGTTTCAGCTGCACTGATTTGCTTCTGAAATTAAGATAAAGAAATTAACTCTTCAGCACCAAGCAAATTATTGTGAGTGTATTGGTATTTCCTTCATGATCGGCTTTCTTTGATAGGCTTTTCAACTCTTTTAACCTTCATGCCCAGAGAAAGCCGATTTTGTGACTTTTACAGGTTTCTGATTAAATGACGTCTCTGGGCAGTGGACATTACACCTATTTAATAGCTCTGATCCTGGTTGAAACTGCATAAATATGATTATAATTACAAACAAAAATGTTTGGAGACATTTGGAGCAACAACAAAAACCTATGAAGACTTCACTTTGCTCTTTGTGGATGTGTCAACAAAAAAAAAAACTGTTCTTGGTCAATGGGAAGAAAAGCAAATATTTCTTTGTTCCATTTTTATTGTCACTAACTTCTCTATCACTGAGATTTAGAGGAATAGTGACAGAGATTTCTCTGTGGTTCATTACCTTGTAGTAGTCTCAACACGTGGCAGGAACATCTGATTTGTTTATCTCTTGATCTAGTTTACCATTAATGCAAAAACAAAAGTTTATTCAATAGAACGTAAAGGTCCCTTTTCCATGCCTTTAGGCTATAGGGCATATAGGGCTAGACCTATATTTTTATAGACCAATCGGCACAAGATGGGGGATGTGGTCAGCATCACGCCAGCCGCCTGTACTTTCCGGGACTGCACCCGGTACCCACTCAAGGCTGGGTCCACCTCAGAGTCAGTCACTTTTTTAAAACAAAAGTCTGGCTCGCTACAGAGTGAACCCACGACCTTCTGATCCGCACGCGAGCGTTTAGCTGCTTCACCACGGCGGCTTCCATTAAATAGAGCATAAACGTATTTAGTAAAATAAACACAGGAAACAAACTAGCCAAACCTCTGTGGTGTCCGACGGCGAGCTCTGTTTTGATTTCTGACTGGGCGGGCTGTGATGTCCTTTATTCTTCTTTTTTTTCTTCTGCTTGTGTTTACTCTCCACCTGGGGAAATCCAGCAAGTAATTACATTCTCATTTAAGTCCTCGTGTGATTCCTAGATCCGGTTAGAAACCTGCCTAACAACCACAATGCCCTGGGTTAGATTCGCATAGAGGTAACAAAATTTTTTTTTCCCCAATACTGACTACGTTTTGTTTCTCAGGTTAACCTAATCCAAAATTGGTACCAAATACTTATCTTGAGAAGTAAAAGCAGCCGGCACAATGAAAACCACATCACCTATCAAGAGCACATGATCTATAAAAATATGAGAACAGCATCATATGCCCTATGCATAGCTAGCATGAGAAGGGTAATTTTCTCATAATCATCTTTAGCTTCTTTAAAAAAAGTTTTAAAAGCAGTCATGTGCGGTTTAACATCTTTCATGTCTAGCATTTAGTGGCCGATTACGCACTCATCTGTCAGCTCGGAGATCTAGGCTTGGATACGGAAACAGAATGACCTTGGCTCCCAAAGTTGACCTTGCCCTAATGTGCACCAGGAAATTCCCTGGGCAGTTCAGAATGATACTGAACAATCGATCATGTAGTGTTTAGAAAAAAATGTGGTTAGCACAATATATCTGATGTGCCACTTATGTGAGAAGGAACCTTCACAATTTAAATGTAATGAGAAAGCATTTAAACATAAGTACTCAGCATCAAAGTCACTGTGGTGAAAGGGCCTAACTCTTGCATATGTATCAGAAGCTTGTGGGTTCGAGTCTTGAGAGAACCAGGCTTTCTTCAAAAATGACCTTGGCTCCCAGGTTACCCACCAAATGCCAACTGATCTATAAAATAAAGGTCTAGCTCTATATGCCTAAAGGCTTGGAAGAAGGTTTTTTTTAAATATATATATATAAACCTGGCATCAAACCAGTACTGCTGACACCAGGTCAACCCAACTAAACTGGGCTTTGAGAAAATGTCATGGCAAATACTGGTAGTCAGTCAGCATGATGTCTAACATATTACCCATGTAGTGCCAACTGGTCATTGAGAATACAGATCTAGCAGCATATGCACAAACATGCCGATAACGTTTTTAAAAAAAGGGTACTTTACTGTCGGTCTCTGCAGGTTAGGACTTACGAACGCCGTCTGTATTTCCCAAATACTTGGTTTGATTAGGCTGCGGGCGATTTGACAGCAGGCTGCCTTTTAACAGATTCTGAGTGCTGAATGATCAAAAACAAATGGCAAACTACTGAGCATAGAACTACCTAGTAAAACCCCCCAAAAGGCCCCCCCCCCCCCCCCCCCCCCCCCCCCCAGCACTGTATTTTTAGGAATCACCTCTCAAGGATTAATAATTCACGTAGAGATCAATGCTGAAGTTTGTCCAAACTTCTGTAATAGATAGGCAACTGACTTATTTGTAACTATACTGACAGTAACACTTTTAAACTTATCCTACCTGTGGAGCTGCTGTGGCCGATTTATGACTGTCCTGGTGTTTTTGAGAATGTGAACTCTCCTTGTCCTTGGAATATCCGTTATCCAGGGCCACTGCACCGGACGATTCTGGTGCAGGTGTCCTGTCCTTCTGTGGGCTCTCCAAACCTTTGCTGGTGTCTTGCTTTGTTTCACGCTCTTCCACCAGGGCCTGTTTTACAGGTAACCCTCCGGCACCATTCACAGCTGTATCAGTCTCCTGGCTGTGTGTGCTGGGTTTGCTGTTCTTCCCAGCCTCACTGCTTGTGTCCTCAACGTTCTGGATAATGAGGAAAATGTAATAGTTAATCAGCTGTGACATAATTTCCTTGTAAAACAAAGCATTAAATGTTCCCACAAGCGAAGGCAGCATATGATAAGGCGCACACTAACCCATCACAACCACTGGCACACCTTTACATCACTACACATCAACATCGCAAAGCACATGCTTAAAACATCACAAAGACCACCCCACCCCTACACATCATCGCAAGATGACATACAACTATTATGATTGTCACAACATCATTATACGCACTAACAACATTATACATCACCATCACAAGCCACACTACTACACATCTTCATCACAAGGCACACAAACACATCATCACAGGGCGTATCCTAACAGATCATCCGACTTTACAATGTTAAAACATCAAAACCTTACATATAATAACACCCTTACACATTACCACTAGACACTTCTTTACACATCATCACCATGAGACACAGGCTTACAAAGCCTCATTACAAAACACACCTTTATATACCCTAAGATGCACCTTACACAGCATCTTGAGACACACCCATATACAGCACCACAAAACATCCCCTTAAATATCATGATAAGACATTCCCTTAGATGTCAGCATAAGATACACCCTTACATATCATAAAGTGCACCCTTACGCAACCACACATTGCATATTTAATCATCACAAGACAACCCTTTACACAAGACACTTCATCCACTTCTGGACATTATTGTTCCACAACTTTTGACTAAGTACCCACCTATATCTATCCATAACCTTCTCTTATGTACTGCTAGTCACAATATCATCAATATTACTTTCACAACTATTAATAAGTAATACAACTACACTAATACAATCCTGAAGACAATGAATATTTTCACTATTAACTGTCACAATTACTACTTTCTTCTTACTACTATATTGCAAATCATCTTTAATTGTAGATTTTCTAGAGTTCCCCTCCTATCAGGCAAATTCATCCTGACTTGGAAGGAATTAGACGACTCTCCTATCAGACAAGATGCATCCTGACTTGGAAGGAATCAGACGACTCTCCTATCAGGCATCCTGACTTGGAAGGAATTAGACGACTCTCCTATCAGGCAAGATGCATCCTGACTTGGAAGGAATCAGACGACTCTCCTATCAGGCATCCTGACTTGGAAGGAATTAGACGACTCTCCTATCAGGCATCCTGACTTGGAAGGAATTAGACGACTCTCCTATCAGGCAGATGCATCCTGACTTGGAAGGAATCAGACGACTCTCCTATCAGGCAGATGCATCCTGACTTGGAAGGAATCAGACGACTCTCCTATCAGGCAGATGCATCCTGACTTGGAAGGGATTAGATGACTCTCCTATCAAGCAGATGCATCCTGACTTGGAAGGAATTAGACGACTCTCCTATCAGGCAGATGCATCCTGACTTGGAAGGAATCAGACGACTCTATCAGACAGATGCATCCTGACTTGGAAGGAATCAGACGACTCTCCTATCAGGCAGATGCATCCTGACTTGGAAGGAATTAGACGACTCTCTTATCAAGCAGATGCATCCTGATTTGGAAGGAATTAGACGACTATCAGACAGATGCATCCTGACTTGGAAGGAATCAGACGACTCTCATATCAGGCAGATGTATCCTGACTAGGAAGGAATCAGACAATTCTCCTATCAAGCAGATGCATTCTGACTTGGAAGAAATTAGTTGACTTTAACAACATGTTTGTTAAGAGGGCAGTGGGTCTATTTCTGCCCTCCACAATGGGGTACAGTAACTCTCATATGGGCAAGATTTAATCTGTGGGCAGTTTACTGGCATGGTGATTTTTATCTGAAGTGCTGGAGGCTAAGCTTTTTTTTTTTTTTAACTATCAACTGATGTTGAGCCATCCAATTCATCTGCCTGTTAATCTCCCCAACATGCCAGCACATCACATATGCCATTGTCCCTGTGTGGGTACTGGACAGATCTAAGTGCCTCCCTAACAAGCATGCCCTAAAAGGTGATTAATTTTCAGTCTGCTGAAATCGGATGTGTTGGGTCGAAAGACACATTACAATCCAGCAGTAAACACAATGTGCAAACAACCCTCTCAAGGGTGAACACAGAAAGAAGAAGAAATCTACCAAATAATAAGCAAGACTGACTCACAGGGAAAAAGGCGTCCATATCTGAACCACTGATATCCTTGCTATTAAGGCCCTTCAAATTCTTTTTGCCCCTACGACCATCCTTGACCATCTGCGCTCCTTTTGAAGAAAAAAATATGTCACGGATTAGCAAAATTAATTATACAAGCACGAAAGAACCCTTTTCCACCACTCCAGGCGTACTGGGCATATAGGGCTAGACCTATATTTTATAGACCAACAGGCACACAGTGGAAGATGTGGTCAGCATCACGCCAGCCACCTTTCCTTACCAGGGTTTGTACCCGGTACCCACTCAAGGCCTGATCAACCTGGAAGCCAAGATACAGGGTACATTATACAGAATTCTAACAGGTACATATAAAAGTATAATTATAACATCAGCAGGTCAGCAGTCTACGAGTCAAGAGACTGCGAGTGCAAATTTACCATTCTGTCACATAACAGGTCTGATTCAGTAAAAGTTGATAATTAGGAGTGTTCACTTCAAAAGTCAGAGTGCTTCTACCTGAAAGGTAAGGAATGAACAGTTCTGTTCACCAGCAAGCCGGGTCTGTAAAATAGATGTGCAAGCAAAGCTCAAACCCTGGGACAAGACTAAAGTACAGAGATGGGCAAAAAATTATAACTTTAGGTGAAGTTTACAGCTAGTGAAGGCTAATAAGGGGACATACAAACAAAAAAGAAGCTACACCATTCAAAAACAGATAAAACTAAGGACACAGAGTTTCAGACTTATGACCAACCGGCTGCCATAAAAGAAATAGAATACTAATAGAAAGAAGAAGAAGAAAGATAAGGCAGATGAAAAAACAATCAACCATTACTGTAAACTATGTAACTGCCAGCATGTTGTACCCCCCACAGCTATGGCACAACTTCAACCAACAGAATTCCTGTTTAACAAGCCTCAACTCCCTGCCTGCCTTAACTCCAAACATGTCATAAAAGAAAGAACAGCCTTACAGTCTTGATAGTGCTCTTGACAGAGCTCATCAACGAACATTACATCTCCCCCCGACACCTCCATGAGGTAAAAGGTGGAAGAGAAGGAGAGGAAGAAGAAGAAGAAGAATAAGGGGTTTGCTGAATTTAGATGCGTTAAGTTGAAAAGTGCAGATATTACAGTCTTGCTGAGACCATACCACAATGTGCCAACTGTTCTTCTAAAGGTGAAATGAAAACAAAAGACAAAAGAAGAAGTAGAAGAAGGGAGCCCCATGGCAGACAGGTTAACCACTGAGTGTCTGACAAGTCAATCAAATACAACAGATGGCAACAGTGGTCCTCTCTTCGCGTTCACTGGCTGTAAACTCCGGTGATAAGTTCTAGTTGTTCAGCGTGCACATACATTTTACAGATTTGGCTTATCCAAAAAATCGAAATTTAAAAAAACTAATATCCTAATATCTACTCCCTCCAACTCCGTAAATGCCATCTTTAGTAAATACTAGAATCCAGTCCTAAACATCTGCGCAGGCAGAAATGATACCAGTGAGTTAACAGTGCAGAGAAACAATTAGATTATCTTGGTCTGAAACAGTACAATGACTAGGGTATCGGGCTGACACTCAACACTTAAAGGAAAAGCAAGATGAACACACAACCAGACGGCTACAGATACTGTCAAAGTTAGAACTTCGCTGTCTGCTGAAGATTTACAGGGAATGTCTCAACCTCTGTGATGGTTCTTGAAACTCAATTCAACTCAACTCAAATGATACCAGTGCTATTAGCTACACCTTCTTGTGAAATGACCACTAAAGCAAGATGGTAAAGTAAAATTTATAAGTAATTAGACCAAACCAGAAATGTCGGTTTTGCAGCTTCTCTGGGCAAATCCAGGAAAATTTGACTAAAAAAATTTGTGATGTGAAATAAATAAAATAAAATAAACGATGGCTAAAAAATATAGTCCCACAAAAATAAACAGTAGTATTGTTAATATACAATATAATACTGGGAATAAAAGAAATACAAATGTTAATGATACATAATTGGTACTGATAAGAGATAGAATAAAGTAATAATATGAAATAAAATAAAATGAAATAATTTTTTAATAATTATTTTTGTGGACTATATTTTTTAGCCATCTATTTTATTTCATTTATTTCACATCACGATTTTTTAAACGTTGCTCGCGTCACCCCTTAGAGATCTACATACTCTCCTCTCCTCGTTGTTACGTTTGTGTAGTTCACTTAAGTTTGAAAAAAGGCTGCCCTGGCCGAAACATTGTGTTGTTTTGAGCACGTTTTTCTGCTTCCCCATTTTGTTTAAGCTTTTTAGTCAATTTTCCAAATTCCTTGAATTAGCTTGACTGCAGTCACCCCCATATTTTCACCTACTCAGTGCATTAGGGTTTAAACGTGCAATTAATCAATTTTAACAGCAGCTAATGTAAGACACAAGGAAGCATTGTTGGTTTGTATTTACCTTGTGAGAATTCCTCTTTGCTGCTATCCTCAGTCTTCTCCACCACCTGCTCTTCTCTGAGGAAGGCTACTGTCTTTGTGGGAGGTGGTGACTTGACATCATCTATCTGTTCTGTTAGAGCTGGGGATAGTTCTTTGACCGGAGGTGCACTCTTAGATACTGGGGACGATACAGGTGGCCCAGTAAGCTTGGCAGGAATGTTATTTTGAGGTACAGCTTCCACTTGTGGCTTTGGCTTCTCTAAATCCACCTGATTAAGTGGCTGGACAGTAGGGTGGACAGCCATGCCGGACCTCATCTGATGCTCAGAAGGGTTGCCGGCCAAGTTTGTAGGAGGGAGGTGCTGTGCAGCAGAGTTGACTCCCATATTGGAGATCTGCTGAGCAGGGTTAACAGTCATGCTAGGAGAAGAAATTTGGCTGTATGGGGGGGATTGATTCTGAGCAGCATGAGGGACCTGGTTGAGAAGAGGCTGATGAAGAAGGTGTGGAGACTGTGAGGGAAGATGGTGGGGAGACTGCTGGGAGGGGAGATGGTGGGGCGACTGCTGCGCCTGTAGCTGAACCTGCTGAAGTGGTGTCGGCATCGCCGGAGACATGTGTTGTCTGACTGGCTGCGGTTGCTGTTGAGAAGGAGTCTGTGGGAGGTGGGGAGCTGGGTGAGTAGGATGCTGCGGTTGCTGCTGTGCTGGGCTGTAGACCGTTTGGTTATTCGCTCGGCCTGGCAATTGGGGCGGGGGTATGCTCAAATTGACACCCAGCATCTGGTGTTGAATCTCCTGGGGTGGAGTCACTGAGACAGGAGGCTGCTGGTTTGAACCAGGCCGAGCCTGCATCATCTGGTGTGACATTACCAAGGGAGGTCCATTCATTGGGGGTCTCATTAAAGGAGCCGGCCCTTTCATCGCAGACTGCTGCTGCTGTTGTTGTTGCATTTGCTGCTGGGGTGTAAGCTGTTGGTACTGCTGATTAGCGGAGATGGGAGCTCCGCCTATAGCACCTTGTGAATCCGGTAACAGCCCTGGCTCGTCTGGCGGTTTCAACGATTCTGCCACCATCCGAGTAAACGTCTGACGCATGTCCACCTTGTTTTGGTTGACCTAATGAAGATTACAAATTTATTCAAATTAAGACATACTTTACTTATTTGCGTGACCCTCTAGCTTAAAGGTTAGTGAATGAGTTCAACACTTTCATGATCCTTGAGTACTAGGGTTAGATTTCCATCGTAGATCATTTATCCACTCTCCTGATTTCTTTAACAGCTTCTTCTTCTTCACCGGCTGCAATTTTTGGCTATTCGTCCCCTCCTAGACTTTGGCCTTACTTTAGAACTTAAGTTCTGTGTGCACATCTGTTTCACGAATCTGGCTTTTTGTAAGCAAATTGTTGGTTCCTTGCTTCTCCAGCAGATACACTCAACTTTGAAGAAACAACAGTAATTAGTCGCCTTTTTCCTCGTGGGGGGTCCTAGGCCCCAATATGGGGAAAACAAGAATAGAGCTTTCCGCCGGTAAATGCGGCGAAGAAGTTATTTCTTACGACGTGCGTCTTATGGGGCAGTGGGTCGACCTTCAAATGGGGTCCTGGATCCTGCAGGGGGTTTTGAACAGCTGTATGAGTCACACCGTGGAAGAGTCTCGGACCTCACCACATATTCTCAAGGACAGCAGTGGGTACACTGTAGATAACCTTACTGTGGAGATGGCAAAGCATATTTATTTCATTACCTCGTTTAATATTTATCATATTCCTCTGTGATGTATGTCTACCATGTCTACCTTGCACCTTGATGCGTTCCAGTGACCCGGAAAGCTATGCTGTCGGCAGATTAGTTACTACCGGTTGGGTCTCCAGGTATTCCTCTTCTTGTGTGGCTTAAGAACAAGATGCATACACATGTCACATCTGTAACAGACTAAAAGCCTGCTGAGAAAGGTGAAGACAGGGATGCTTCAAGCAGAGTGGCAAGCTTCACTTGAAAGGTCACGGGTAGTGAGCATACTTTGGATTTTTTCTTCAGGCTATGCTGGCGTGGTGGGGAATGAATAGGCAGACAGATTGGCTGGATCTGCACCAAGGGTGGTGAACTGAAACAAGACAGCCAACGCCCTTTGGGACCATGTAAGGAAGTCAGAAAAAAACTAATTATGGCCTGTGTGTGAAGTAGTAATGACAATAATTGTAAGGTTGTGGGTCGCCACAACACGAGAAACTGTTTTAAAGGGTCGCCACATTAGGAAGGTTGAGAACTACTAGACTAGAGGGTTTAGCCAACTCATAACACTCTAAGGAAAGGCAAGACATATAACCTGACTATGACCAGTTCTATCTGTATTGAACTCTGAGCTAGCTGCTGAAGATGGGGATGAAGCGGCATATGGGAATGCTCCCAGTGCTGTGATGTCAATTCTTGACTCAACTTTACTCACACAGCATACCAAAATAACAGATTATTATCGTTTCCTTCAGTGTTCGCCTTTAAAAAGGAAAGCTGGCACACTGCTGTGTTTTAACAGCAAGGCTGCGATGCCTATCGGCCCCGAAACATTAGAATTTTAGCAAACCCCTGTTTAAACAACTCCACAACCAGCTTTTTAGGTAAACAGTGGGTCTATTCTTCTCCCCCACCCCCCCCCCCTTTCCAGAACATATAGAGCAGCGGTTCTCAACCTTCCTAACGCTGTGACCCTTTAAAACAGATCTCATGTTGTGGTGACCCCCAACCATAAAATTACTTTCGTTGCTACTTCATAACCAGTGAATATATGTTTTTTGATGGTCTTAGGCGACCCCTGTGAAAGAGTCATTTGATCCGTTAAGGGGTCTGGACCCACAGGCTGCGAACCGCTGATACAGGGGAAATATTTTTTTTGATGCGCGTAACCATTTCTCTCCACATGATCCTTTCTATTCCAGACATCTTCATTACACTATTTATCTGCTCAAAGACCCCCCATATCTGAGCTTTCATATAATTTTCACTAACTGACCAGCTGTCCATGACTCACTTTCACACATCAGAATCATTGAGTACATTTAAAAAAAACTAATTTGGCACCAGATGGGTCATCTGGTCAACATGCCCCTCGGCTGGTCTTAATTCCAACAACACGCCTTAGTGCTTTTTTTTTTTTAAAGGCTGCTAAGTCAACCTAGAATCTCACTCACATCAACTTTATAGATACACCTTTTTTAGGACTCAAAACTACAAACTCAGGTACCCTTAACAAATCCTTTGTGATGAGGATTGAAACGTATTAATCCAGGTCCAGTCTGTCTTGATGGAGATTATCAATCTGTCTTGATGGAGATTTTAACCAATGCTCACTGAGCTGCGATCCAGGCAAATTAAAGTGTCTACTTGAAATTAAACAGTTCAGAGAATCAAGCCTACTTGAACTTAAACAATTCAGAGAATCAAGCCTACTTGAACTAAACAGTTCAGAGAATCAAGCCTACTTGAACTAAACAGTTCAGAGAATCAAGCCTACTTGAACTAAACAGTTCAGAGAATCAAGCCTACTTGAACTAAACAGTTCAAAGAATCAAGCCTACTTGAACTAAACAGTTCAGAGAATCAAGCCTACTTGAACTAAACAGTTCAGAGAATCAAGCCTACTTGAACTAAACAGTTCAAAGGATGTCTACTTCAAATGATCAGAGAATCATGCCTACTATATTACAATCAGAGAACCATGCACACTATATTACAATCATAAAATTATGCCTAATTTTATAACAATCAGAGGACCATGCCTATTATACAACAATAAGAGAATCATGCCTACTATATAACAATAACAAAATCATGCCTAAAATATAATAATCAGAGAACCAAGCCTACTATATAACAATCAGAGAGTCATGCTTATAGTAACAATCAGAGAATTTTGCATACTGTAACAATCAGAAAATCATGCCTACTGTAAATGAACAGTTCAGAAAACCATGTCTTCTTTAAAAGATCAGAAAGCCATGTCTACTTTAAACAATCAGAGAACCATGTCTACTTTAAACAATCAGAAACCCATGTCTACTTTAAAAGATCAGAGAACCATGTCTACTTGAAACAATCAGAGAACCATGCCTACGTTAACAATCAGAGAACCATGTCTACGTTAACAATCAGAGAACCATGTCTACTTGAAACAATCAGAGAACCATGTATACTTGAAACAATCAGAGAACCATGTCTACGTTAACAATCAGAGAACCATGTCTACTTGAAACAATCAGAGAACCATGTCTACTTGAAACAATCAGAAAACTATGTCTACTTTAAACAATCAGAGAACCATGTCTACTTTAAACAATCAGAGAACCATGTCTACTTTAAACAATCAGAGAACCATGTCTACTTGAAACGATCAGAGAACCATGTCTACTTGAAACGATCAGAGAACCATGTCTACTTTAAACGATCAGAGAACCATGTCTACTTGAAACGATCAGAGAACCATGTCTACTTGAAACGATCAGAGAACCATGTCTACTTTAAACGATCAGAGAACCATGTCTACTTTAAACAGAGAACCATGTCTACTTTAAACGATCAGAGAACCATACCTACCTCAACTAAACAGTTTAGAGCAGTGTTTCCCAAACTTTTCTTGGTTGCGGCACCTTTTTTCAATTAAAATGTATATACCTCAACTAAACAGTTCGCAGAATTTCAATCTCTCCTCTTAAATGTTCACTGACTGTAAAAACCTAGGTGGAAAGTTCTGGTTGTTTATGTACTTCTAGACATTAGTCTTGTCCTAGTTTTGTGTGCACATCCATTTTACACATCTGCCTAACCTGTATGCAGACCTTTGGTTCCTCATCTCTCAGACAGACACCCAGTTTTGAAGGAAACATTCCTTTTCTCAAAAATGTAGCCATGGAACCCACACAGGAAGTTTATACTTCAATTAAAAAGTTTAGAGATACATGTCTACTTCATCTAGACAGTTCAAAGAGTCTTCTTTCTCTTTTGTAACCCTGTAAACAGGGAAGGGTCACTGCTTATTAGGAGTTAGGTTTTTGTGCAGAGCCGGGATCTACCGAGATCAACAAGTTTTGGTGACCATTTTTCCCGCTAAAACTAATTATTGACATCACTTGTTTGCCGGGAGATAGAATTTTGCATAGTGCTGGATGAGAAGAAAGTCAACAAGTCTTAGCGACAATATTTTGTAAATAGTATTTGACGTCATTGTTGTCGTGCCCTATCAAAGCAAACGCAATTGTACTTGTTTTCTAGAAGCTTCTATGACGTCAATTGTCAGTTTAACTACTATATTTGCGTAGAATAGGATGATAAAATCTGATGCATTTGAGATACAATTAGCAAAATCCCACGTGAGAATGTACATAGTAAACAAGTCGAACATAAAAGAATATTCTAGAAGCAGAAAAAGCGAGAAGAAAACAAATGCCTAGCATTCCAGCATCCAAGTTTAAATAATGAGTGAGAAACCACGTTGGGTAATTCTACAGTCCATAAGACTCAAGAGAGGAGGGACCAGTCATATGACCCCTAAAGCGCCTTCAGTTGTCGAGACTTTGAATAGGAGGGACTAGTAACAAGGACCCTCAAGAAAGAGAGAATTCCATATTTAGTCCTCGAGATTTAGAAGCAGAGGAGCCAGTCACATGAAGCCTCGAAGATAGACACTAGAGAGCAGACTTGAAACAAGACATCGAGCTACAGAAACAACACACAAGATACCTGGATCCATGGTTAACAGCGACACATTAGGTAGAAAAACTTTTGAGATGTTAGAGTCGACGATTAAGCCATTAGTATCAAACAGCACTAGAAGCCAGGTGGCAGTTACAGACACTAGAACTAAAGTATCTAGAGATGAAGAACACAACGCGAACCTACGAGTATTTAGCCATAGAGAGAACACAGCGCCTTGCAGAATATCATTGATGTTAATTTGTGACATTGCTGAATATCACAATAAAGACAGTACAGACAGGAACAGTTTTTTCCAGACATTTTATTTTTCAAGCATCAGAGCCACGTGAGAAGAATGCAGATAGTAAGACATCATCATCATCACAACCACTATCGACACGACCATCTTTCTCCTCGTCTATAATCTTCCAAACAACTCCTCCTGTAGCAAACCTGAAGACGAACCTGGGTGTGACATCGACTAATGAAGAAGAGAGCTGTGCTACACTCCCAATAAAGCACAAGCCCTCAACCAACTCACACCAAGTTGTTCTGTCTCTACATGCATCTTTTCTCGATTGCAGCTCTCTTCATGTCCAACCCTCCCCCTATTTTCAACTTCATGTGCTTCTTGATCTTCCTTCATTTTCATGCCCCCGTGGGGTTCAAAGAATCAGTCTACCTAAACAGTTTAAACAACTCACCTGAGGTACCTGCTCATAGGGATCATCAGATTCAGACATGTGATGAGTCCTGTGACGGATAATCTCCTCAGTGATGTCACGCCCTGTATCGGGGTCAGTGATGTTCAAAACCTTCTTCTCCCGCACCTGTGGCCGCACGTACTGAGGTCCGGCCGGAGCCATGCCGGGGTTTCTCCACTGCTGTGTTCCATTGGGGTAACACATGACCCCAGCTGGATATGTAGGGTTCTGCATGAACTGTGCTTGCTGATACATGGGAACTGTCGGGGCCGGACCTTGGAACTAGATGGGCAAAGCGGCAAGAAAAGGACATTTTGATTGCAACCAATATTTCTTTCAGCTGTAATCTTCTTCTTTGTGTATACTGTCTGTAAACTCAAGTAGAAAGTTCTGAGTTTTGCATGCACATCCGTTTTGCATATCTGACTTATCTTTATCTGAATGCAGATTGTTGGTTCCTTTCCAATCAGATAGCATATGCACTCTACCTTTAGAGTAAACCCCTAATTAGTTGACTCTAAGAACATGCTTGTTGAAAAGCAGTGGGTCTAACACTCCCCCACCATTGTGGTCCTGGAACCCACATGGAGACTTTAAGCTGTAATGAAAAGCATATTTAAAGACTGACTGACTTCACTGTATTCTTCTTAGCTTCACCAGTCAGCTGTAAACCCCACTGGAAAGTTCTAGCTGTTTGGTTTGGTGCGAACAACGAATCAACATCATGGCACTTGAGTAGTAACCCACACAAGTACTGCAACAGTAAAGTCTATCTTCATCTTGAAACTTACGATTTAAAATGAAACTGTATGCATTTCAAAACAGGCAACATTTGGACTACTTCAAGATAAGTAAAATTAAAGGCCCTTTTCACAAGGCTTCGCAAAACAGAACAGACCCACTACCTTCTTGTTGGAAAGTTCTAGCTGTTTGGTTTAGTTTGAACAACAGATCAACATCATGGCGCATGAGTAGTAACCCATAAGTGCTCCATTCTACTTTTAACTCAAGCCTGAGTCCCGAGAATCTCAGCACAGTGCACGAACTCTGTAGCACCGGCGAGGATCCTGGAAAACTTAGGTAGAACTCTAAAGTTTGTCCGGGCAGCATCGTTAGGCTACACTTTTCGATGTCCAACTAGCTGTTTATCCTCTTCTGGACTCTAGTCCTGTTCCAGAACCTGAGTGCAGGGTGCATAACCATTTTAGAGGTATTTTTCATGTGTATGCAGACTGTTGGTTCCTTGTCTATCTGGCAGATACACTCCAACTTCAAAGAAAGTTCCCAATTAGTCAACTCTTTGGTCATGCTTCTGGGTAGGCAGTGGGTCTAATCTTGCTTTCCTCATACTGGGGACTCAGAACCCAAACGGGGATTTGCAGTGTTTTGTAGCATATGGGTCTCTCCCACACAGCGACCGACTTCCAATCATGATCACTGCACAAAGAATTCACTTTATAAATCACCTTTACCCTCCTAATGCTGCAACCCTTTAATACATACAGTTCACTCCTGTTGTAGCCACCCCCAAACAATTGTTTTTCTTTATATCTTCAATGTTGTTTTTTCTGATGGTCTTGGGCGACCCTTGTGAAAGTGTCATTCAACCCAAAAAGGGTTGCGACCCACAGGTTGAGAATCGCTGCTCTAAATCAAGCAAAGAACCCCTAAAGGTCTGTCACAACACCCACACTAGCAAAATGATCAATAAAATACATTCACAACCTTCAAGACACAAGGCAAATAGCTTGACCCCGTGTTTCCCAAAGCTTGAGCCCCGTGTTTCCCAAACCTTTCTTGGTCGCATAAGTAAAGTATGACGCCTGCTTTTTTTTTATGAAGCTTTTAAATGTTTTGCAGCGCCCCTTTTTTGCACATTGGGAACACTGATTTATTGCAGTCAAGATACCCATCTCCGCCTTTCCCCACTTTAATGAAAACTCCCAATCCGGATTCCAGGAGCTCAATTTTGGAGGCACTAACAGACCCACTGTCGCCTAACAAACATGTCATTGAAAGTGACAAATTAAGGGTTTTCTAAAACTGGATGTGTTGGGCCGAAAGGTATAGATACCCCTCCACCTCCCAGTTGGAGATCACTGTACTAAAGGATGTGCATTCTTCTTCTTTTTACACACAACCACTTTTTCTTCTTCAGCATTGTGAGCCCTTGAGGTTCTCAATACATCTCTCTGGTTGGCCTTCTCTTTCCAGCTGGTGACACCAAGTGTTTGCTGGTCTGACTGGACATTATCTCTCCATCATCTTCTTGGTCTGCCTCATGGTCTTCTGGTCTACTATTTCCACTGTGTATACAGTTTTCACTTCTCTGTCATCTGACATTATCTCAATATGCCCCAGCCATTACAGTCCATTAGTTCACACAATGCCAGTGATCAATGGCTATTAAAACAGATTATGAATTTTGTTTTTGTTTCTCACTCTCCATTCCCCGCAGTTTCCATCTTTGATGTCACATTACTACTACCTTGAGAAAACCTTGAAATTCCTTCATGAATGAAAAAAAAAACCTCTGCTACAACCCCAGTTAACTCATATTTGTACACCAGAATAAATTTATAGCAAGCATTTATCACTGACAAAAATAAAGAAGAAGATATAGGCATGAACATCTCACCATATTGGCCGGTATCGTGTAGACATTGCTCCCTGAGGGAAAGTTCTGGTAATACAGCATCTGTTGTGACGAGGGCTGTGCGGGCCTTGGTTGACAATATGGACCAGGGGTTTGTGGGCCGATAAAGTACTGCAACGGTAAAGTCTGTTTATCTTCATCTTAGAGCTTACGATCTAACATGAAACTGCATACATTTCAAAATAGGCAATATTTGGACAACTACTTCAGGATAAGTAAAATTAAAGGCCCCTTTTCACAAGGCCTAGCTCTTGTGTGGGTTCAGAAAGCTTTTTCTTCTTCCTCACGTTCACCAGCTGAAAGCTCCAGTGAAAAGCTCTGGCTGTTCCTCCACCTCTAGACTTTAGACATCGTTGCAGAACCTGAGTTTTGCTTGGGCTACTTCACAGATCACGTTTATTTGTATGCAGACATTTAGTCCCTCCCCTTTCAGACAGAGGCACTACAACTTCAAAGCAAATTAGTCAACTCTTAAAACAGGCTTTTCGGGGAGGCAGTGGGTCTATTCTATTCTTTATCTCCAAAACGGGGAACCCACATGGGGAATTAGAATCACAAAAGCGATTGCATTGTAATGCTGCAATAAAAAGTAAAAGATTTTCTGTGTGTATATTTCAGGATTCCCTTAAATTTGACCCCAGGCTCTGGAATGATCCAGACCACAAAATGGGGATATACCTCTTATCTTATTTATATCTTCTACTACTAAGTATGTCGGCGTCTGTGGCTTAGGCATTGCGAACCCGCTTTGTATTGCCGCGTTCAATTCCAGCTGCTGGTCTTGTGCCTGGTGTTGGTTTCAACAGTGGTGTTGTCAGCCAACTGTCCAGAAAGCAATGGCAAACTACTGAGCATAATATTTGCCTAGAAAAACTATTACAGGCAAAACATGCTGCGTTTTGTTCTGCAACGACCTGTAAAGGATATACAACTTTAACTACTAAGTACACCGACTGATGCATGTGAATATATTTATTATCAAAGAGTTGAAACAAAATGTTCATCACTGGCAAATGTTATCAAAAGCAGAATACTGAGATGGCTTAGACATGTTTGCAGAATGCTGCTTAACACTTTGGCCAGGACAGCTCTCCAATGGTGGGCAGATAGAACAGGGAACTTTAAATACACGGAATGCCAAGGGCAGATTAACTGAACGAACAAACTATTTTTGAAGGGTCACAAATTGACAAATTGGTCACACAGGACTGTCTTACATTTGGCCCTTCCAAGCACCCATTTTTCACACTGCAGTTGTATTTTATCAGTAAGCATGTTATATTAATATGATAAGCACACTTCCGTGCGTACACACACACGCCAACCCACTCACTTAAACATGCATACATAGACAACCACATACCTTCATACACACACATAAAACACCCCCCCCACCCCACATACATATTGAAGAAATGCAGGCAGCAGTGGAGATCATATGTGAATGATCTGTGTGTCAAGAACACAAAGAGGATATAGACAGACAGACAGGAGCTAGCTGTGTATACTCACTTGCTGGCTGGCTGCAGGGGCCTGCTGCATCTGCTGAGGCCTCATGCTGGGGCCATGCTGATAATAACTGCCTCCTTGGGGGAGGCTCTGTGGGAGGGGTCCGGCCCTCCCATTGTTGCCAGGCTGTCCTCTGATGTCATTTATGGCATTGCCATAAGCCTGGACAGTCTGGGGATATGAAAGGCAGGTAAAATATGCGTCACGCGAGGCAATGAGACATACAGGACGTGGAAAAGGAAGCATGCAGCTCAAACTTCACCTGCCCCATATTCCTACCATGCAGCATAGGCCTGCTAACCAGCCATTCTTCTCCATTTCTCAGAAACTATTCTGGAATAAGTTTGCTGGACCAGGCTGAAATACTGGACACCCTCAGAGGCTGACGACAGTGCAGAGAATCAACAAACAGGCACTGAAATAAGAAATTAGAGGGACTGAGGAAGTGACGACTTCCGAAAGATACCATTTAACAATGAGAGTGGTTAAAGGTGCTGTACTGGATTCCATCTATGATACTGACAGGATTGCACAACATAGGACAGGATTGCACAAGATAGGATGGAATGGAGGAATAGACTGCAAGCCCTATGTGAGACATAATGGCACAACAGGAAAATGATGAGGAAATCCATATAAGAAGCAAACAATTAATCACTCCCTATATACAACATTGAACCAGCAAGGCATAAGAGTATCAAAAAGAGGTGAGAGAGATGTAATATCCAGTTTGTTGCTACCTAAGTACGTTCACAGCGTATGAAAGAGCTGACAGACTGGCTACATCTGCAGTGGTTAGTGGAAAAAAAGTATGGACAGGGCAGACAATTCAAATAAATGTGCTGCCTTCCAGAGATGAGACAAAGGAGTCAAAGAAGATGAACCACCTGTTCTTCTTCTTCTTTGCGTTCGGTTTCGTATGCTCAGATCAGAAAATCAGGTAGGTTGCCTCTATGAACTCGCATGTCAGTAGCAGGTCCTTCATGGTTCCCTACAGCTTGCTCTGCACACTTTGCTCTTGAGGCCAGGTGTCTTTTTGAAATTGGATGTAGAGTGGGCAGGTCTGCAGAATGTGCTCAGATGTTTGTGGTCCTGTTTGACAGGCACACTGTGTGGACTGTACAATCTTTATTTTATGCATGTTGTAGTTGAGCCTGCAGTGTCCTGTTCGTAGACGGAAAACTGCTGTTTGTTGTTTTCTGTTAAGTTTGCAGATGGGGTCTTGTGGATGTTTACTGTCAGTTTGTTCTCTCCACAATTAGTCACAAAAAGTTTTCCCTTGATAAGTGTTCTAATTTCTGTTAACGACAATGGATGGTTATGTTGTTTCTTCTCTGTCTGCTCATTTCCTGGTATGCCGCAGTGAGCTAGGATCCACTGGAGAACGATCAAATTGTTTTCTGGAAGTCTGTTTAGCTGGTGGGTCAGTCCTCTTTCCATGTTGTACGTGGATCCCTCGGAGTCGCATGGAGGACTAATTCTGCTGTTTCACCTGTTCAAAATGGGTATTAAACGAGGGCAAGCATGCAGAAACGTGTTGTGGGACAAGGAAAGGGGATATGTCAATTAACTCTTACTTAGTATGTTAAAGGACAGAGATAAAAGACTGTTATGGTTGATGCATCAGAGGACAGAGCATGGTTGATTGGGCCCAACCAATGTGCTAGGACAGTGGTTGGCCAATCGCTGCTCACCAGCCGCATACAGCGCTTTCGAGACCTGAGTGTTCAAGGACAGAGATAGCTCGGGCAGTGTGCCACAAATCGGTTTTGACTCCGAAAAACATGGTTCTTGAAAAAAAAATTTGGCTTTCAAAAATATTTTTATCGTCCAGCTGCTGATTTTTGGCTCTTCCGTCTAATCAGTTTGCCATGCCCTGTGCTGGGATCTCAATATTTACCACAAATAATTATCTTTACTTGCTGGCTTGCTGTAGGGGCCTTATGTTATCACAACTGACATCACTGCACATTAGGCATTTCTCATGACTGCTAGGTCCTCAGATGCAGCAGCCTCCCAAATGTACTTCTACTAGCTGTTCCCATGAGAAGGTTACGTCTCCTATCTCAGCCTCGAGGGCCACATAGACCTGCTTTACTCACACATCATGCAATCAGGTTAGTGTCAGAGATTTGTCAGAGACCTGCTGGATCCGGTTGGTGGGAATGGAAAGGATATGCACAAATGTAACCACAATATTTGAACCAAAATAGTCCTCAATGAAATACTAAATGCAACACAAATTACTTTAAAAAAAATTTGACAGGAAAGATAATAGAGCTTGTAAACAACTGAGATTAATATTAAATATTAAACAAAGAAATGTGTATTCAGGAAAAATAAGGACATGAAGGGGTTAGGCAAAAATGTCTGGCCGTCACCTCCTTAGCATCAACTCACTCAAGACGAATATTCAATTAACACCAACAAAATGCTGGTCTCAGCAAGGATTGATAACTTATAATTAGGGCTGTACCGAATAGTGATTTTCACTATTCGTCCGAATACGAATAGCTGGACCAACTATTCGGCCGAATACGAATAGTGAATCATCATCATCATGTGCTTTGCCGGCTGGCATGGGCGATTATGCCTCGCCACAATCTGCGATCTCCGGCAGCACGTATTAGTTCGTGTGCTGACACACCTCCATGAAAAACCTTCGTTCCATGTTGTCAGCATTAGGCCAGCTTTTTGTCTCACTGAAGGTATTTCCAGCTGTACTAAACAGGAAAATACGACAAATACAGAGAGTCAAAATAAAAACCCGCAAGGCGAAACATCAAAAACAAAAATAACGCAGACGACGAAGAAAACACAACCTCCCCCCCCCCCCTCCCCCCCCAACCAGACGCCGGGCGGCAACACCAGAAGATCAAACAACAAAGACAATCAAGAAACCGAACGTCGATCAAAACATTCAGCCCCTGCCGTTTCCACGAGACGACGAAAGAACAGATACGACACCCATAAATGATGACAAAACTCCCGTTACTTCAAAGAATCAACGAAGAGGACACTCCACTCAAAGAAATCAAGCCGACAACACTAGAACACTTGCTTTTCTGCCCCTCTTACATTTTTAAGTGTTGCATTTTGTTTCTACAGCAACACACCTAAAAACACTATACTCGCAACACATGCAAGATGGAAATAAAGGGGCACTTGGTACGCTCGCAGGTGGTGCACAAAGATAACGCTTCACAGTATAACCCAAGGTGGGAAGTCTTGATGGTTTTTTTCCACCAGTCCAGAAACGGGTAACCACTATTCGTATTCGGCCCGACCGCAACTATTCGACCAAATACTGAATAGTTATTGGGTCCACTATTCGGCCCCGAAGCGAATATTCGGTACAGCCCTACTTATAATACATGGATTAGTCTCTGAATTTACAATTTTTTCTGTCCCTTGGAATTTGCGTTAATGGGGTTTTACTGTTATTTGTGGGTGTCTTTTTCAATCCCTCCAGAATTTCTAGCCAAATTTTAATTTGTATTTAGTACTTCTTGTCGGCTCTGTGGCTAAGTCGATGTGAACGCTTCGCAATGCGGGGGTACCGGGTTCGATCCCAGCTGCAGGCCATGTGCCTTTCGTTGGTTTCAACAGTGGTATCAGGGGGCCGATCGTCCAGAAAGCAATGGCAAACTACTGGATGTAAGTTTGCCTAGAGAAACCACACAACAGCCAGGGGCTGTTAGGGTTGGTTTTGCAACGTCCTGTAAAGGATACACAACTAACCTTTTTTTTTCAGTACTTCTTACCAACTTAACTGTACAGCCAGGTCCTATTTATGGAGATTTGCTGGGGTCACGCGAGGCTGAATGGTCAAAGACAGGCAGAGTGATTAAAACACGTCATGTGATGACTGTGGATCTGCAACTCTGACAGGACTTACTAGAATATCAAGCGACAAAGAAGGAAGTCAGATAAGAAAACTATAAAAGAAACCAAGACAAGAAGACTGAAAAAAGCCACATAACGGGGCTAAGCAAGAATTCAGATAAGATTATGAAAAAAGCCAGATAAGAGAACTGTGAAATAAACCAGATAAGAGGGATATGATAGAAGCAAAAGAATATCAGTAAATCAAAACAGAACTTTTTTTTTTTGGTCACTGCTAACTGGCTAAATTATAGCAGAAGGCATGGTACCAGGAAGGAGGGGCAGGGGCCGACCAACACGAAGATGGGCACAGGAAATAAGTGACACCTTGAGTATGATAGTACATGAGACGGGAGAATTGGCGAGAGACTGAGTTTCTTTCAGGCAGACTGTGATGAGAGCGACGTTCTGCAAAGGACCTGCTACATGATGATGCTAACTGGCAAGTCAGCAAGAGGTAGACAGCAAAAGGAAGGTTACATTAGGAGATGGACGAACATCAGTCTCAGCGAGTGTACAACCAGGATGAGAGACTAGTCTACTCAAGCTGACCTTCACTGTGGGGATGACTTCTGATTTGCAAACAGAACCAGTACTATCAGCCACTCTACAATGATAAAGTTATGGCGATCACAGCACATGTGTGAGGAATAGTTCCTTGTGCAGACGGGATTACCTCTCGATTAACTAACAGATCAAAATGGTCTGAATATCGACATCTTACCTGGTAAGGCAAATAGGCTTGGCCCTGTGCCTGAGGTAAGAACTCATACGCACCTTGAGGTAGGGAAGCTGAAAGAATATACAATGTAATGAACCATGAATCAATCAATCAATGTAGGTTCCAGTGCCGCATCATGTTGTTTTTTAAATAAACTCATTAAGCGTGCTGAACTCAGTTGTGTTAGGCCGAAAGGCACAGGTATGACAGCCTAGTTGTATGAAAAGTGCCAAGCGCCTCTGTAAGGAAAATTATGAATTATTGTTTCCATAAAGGCACAAAAAGAATGATTCAATGAATGAATGAAACAAACAATAAATTCAATAGCTGAATGAATAGGAAGATAAATAAATGAATGGCAGAATAAAATACTGAATGACTGAATCAAAGAAACAATCAATAAAAGGCCAATCATGTGTTAACAAGGGAGACAAAAAAGAATTATAGTTACACAACAATTTACTTCTTTGAGTAATAATCTTGACAGTCAGAAAAACACAAGAAAGAAATAACACTCACTGGCAGGGCATCACCAGCTTTTAACAAAATATGGACAAAAATAAACTGAATAGTTTTTGAACCAAGTAACAATTACATTTAAATGTTAGCATACGCCAATGAAATTTTAAAAACATTAAGACATGGAGAGAAAGTTTAATGCATTTAAAAACAAATGCCTAAAGAAAAATGATGAACATAGATGGGGCATATCGAGAGAATGATTACATGAGATAAAAACTGTACAAATGAAAAATAGCAGTTAAAATGAAAAATAGCAGGCAGACCAAAAAATATAGTGAAGAAATAATATAAAGCAAACAATCTCTTGGAGTCAGCAACTTAAAAGAAAAAGCCAATCACAGGGTCAAATTAAGCTGGGTGTATCTGCAGCAATGAACCTCAAGGGTTCAGACTGCTGAATTAAGAAATATAATCATCGCCATCATGTTCCCTGCTAATGACGTAGGTGCTCATGCGTCTCCACAGATCACAATCCCTGGTTGCCTAGAACAGCTCTCTTGATATTCCTCCATGCCATCGTTTCAGCCCATCCAGCATCGTCTCTCTTGGTCTGCCTCTACCCCTTTTTTCACTGACCTTTCCAGTTGTCACGATCTTCTCCAATGTGTCTCTTCTCATTATGTAGCCAAAGAACAGTGTTTGTCTCTTTCTTATTGCTGAATATCACCACCACCACACGCGGACACATACATCACCACCACATGCGGTCACATACATCACCACCACCACATGCGGTCACATACATCACCACCACCACACGCGGACGCACACATCACCAACACCACACGCGGACACACACATCACCAACACCACACGCGGACACACACATCACCACCACCACATGCGGTCGCATACATCACCACCACCACATGCGGACGCACACATCACCACCACCACACGCGGACACATACATCTCCACCACCACATGCGGTCACATACATCACCACCACCACACGCGGACACATACATCACCACCACCACACGCGGACACATACATCACCACCACCACACGCGGACACATACATCACCACCACCACATGAGGACACACACATCACCACCACATGAGGACACACACATCACCACCACATGTGGACACACACATCACCACCACCACACGCGGACGCACACATCACCACCACCACACGTGGACACACACACCACCACCACCACCACATGCAGACACACACATACACACTGTTGAACCGTTGAAAGCTTTCCAGCTGATCTCCGTGTACTTGACTAGACAGCAGAGGCCCAAGGCATGGACCTAGAATACACGACCCAACACCCATTAATCAGTTTCGTCTCTCAGTACAATAAAAAAAAATCAAATCAAACAAGAAGTAGAACTAGTCAACTTTTCATCACATTTTCATTAGGAAAAATGTTTGGTATTTTGCCGAAGGCTATTTTTGCCTTGACTTCATTTCAACCTATTTAAGGTATCTAGCATCAGACATCATCTTCTTCTTCTGGACCTGCCCTGAAAAGAAAGGCTGCTGCGCTGTGTTGTGATTTACAGCTAGGCCTTTTAGCACAACACATTCAGCTTCTTCTTCTGTTCGTTGACCTGCTGTAAACTCCTGCTGTAAACGGCTACTGACGCGATTTTAGACATTGCTCCAGAACCTGAGTGCTGCATATTCATCCATTTTACAGATCTGGCTTTGTATGCAGTCTGCTGGTTCCTTACCTCTCCAGCAGATGCACTCCGACTTCAAAGGTTGCCCCCAATTTGTCCGACTCCTACTTCATGCTTTGGGGAAGCAATGGGCCTCTTTCTGTCCCCCCTCCCCCCATACACTGAGCCCACAGAACACACAGTAAGACCACTTTCAGCAAATCCCAAACTAGTCGCTTTTTACTACATGCTTTTAAAGAGCAGTGGGCCTATTCTTACAAACACACACCCACCACACCCCAATCCCAACAATGGAACACCAGAACCCACTCAAATACATCAGATAGCATGACTAATGCCAAACAGATAACATTAAACTGGCGACTCACGTGATGACCCTTGAAAATACTGCTGGGGTGGCGGTGTGCTTGAAGAAATTAGGCTGTTCACTCTAGTTAAGGGTTCAAATCTTCAAACACTGCTAGAAAGTATGATTTAGGCAATGAAAAATAAAGGACAAAGGAGAAATGATAAACTAAAAAATTTTAGATTCAAAACCATTCTGGGTATAACCCATATCTAATGCCCTGCAGCACGCATATCTGACGATGGTCCTCTCTCTACAACCTGTGATCAACACAAAACATGTTTCTGAATAATACAAAGTGCCAAGACGTGCTAATTGGCATAGAGGTTCCATACAACTCATGATTTTTAAGACAATTGTCAGTTCATGTGTGGATATATTTCTATACGATAAGAAACTGACAAAAATATTCTTTCAATGTCTCCTGCAAGCAGACAGACTGGATGGTTCTGAACTGCTAGGTGGTGAACTGATGTATGACAAGCTGGATGTTGTGAGGGCTCTTTGGGAGCGATTGAACAGTGCGGCGGCACAGATAGATCATTATGGTCTGGGAAGAATGGCGCTGTGAGGAGTTACAAAGGGATCTGGCCGGCGCTCAACACTGAAGGGAAAAGCGAAATGGATACACAATCAGACAGTTACTAGTGCCATCGGAATTGGAACACTTTGCTTGCTGCTGAAGATGGAACGGATCGCTTATGGGGGTGTCCAGAGTGCTGTGATGTCGATTCTTAATTCAACATATCCCAACAAGCATGTCGTAAAGGTCTATTTATAGAAATGTTTTTTTTTTTGTTCTAAAGAGTGCATTGGCTTGAGAGGAACCAACAGTCTGCATACAAATAAGCTAGATGTGTTAAATAGATTGCATGAACAAAAATACCAAGTTTTGGAACAAGGCTACAGTCCACAAGCGGGCAAATAACCAAAACTCTTTGCCAGAGTTTACAGCCAGCAGATGTGAAGAGAAGTAGCCAGCAGTTAGGAAGTCAAACTATCATTCGGGAGAACAAGTTCTTGAACAAGGCTACAGTCCATGAGCGGACAAATAACCAGAACTTTCTGCCAGAGTTTGCAGCCAGCGGATGTGAAGAGAAGTAGCCGGCCTAGCAGTTAGGAAGCCAAACTATCATTCGGGAGACCAAGTTCAGGCCAAAGGGAAACAAATTTAAATTTAACAACAGATGTCCAACATATAAAATCAGATGTAAGTTAATATTTATTATCAGCACACTAGATAAGAGACCACGGCAACTGAGTCAGCAAATATGTAGTCTAGAGTGGGTTGCAGGGCTTCATTTTGGAGGATCCGAGTATGAGTTCCAGGGCCCCATTGTGGGGTACTTTACAGCCGGTGAATGCAAAGAAGACTGCAGAGAAAACAAAAGAGGTTCTCCTTGCAATAACAGTCGCTACTTGGACGGTGACGGCCGCTTAGTCGGAGTTCAGTCCCCTGGCTGCAGTGCAATTACGGAGTGAACAAGGCACGAATCACACAACACAGTGAGTTCAACATGGCGTCTAGACCACACGCTGTGACTCACATTAGCCTAACCCTAACTATGTCATTTGTGTTGTTCCCTCTTTTCCACTCCGTAATTGCACTGCAGCCAGTGGACTGAACGACTAAGCGGCTGTCGCCGTCCAACTAGCGACCGTTATTGCAAGGAGAGCCACAAAAGAATAGATCCACAGCCCTCTAATAAGCGTGGCGTAAAGGTGCTAAATTAAGGATTTGCTGAAAATCTTTTTGCGGAGCACAGATACTACAGCCTAGATGTAAACCGCAAAATACAAAACAATGTTATCAATTGCCTTTTTATAAGGGTGAAAGCAAAAGAAATGTGGGAAAGAGAGAATTCATTTCAATGATTGAGTAAATTAGAGACAATAAAAGGTACAACATAATCATTAATTAATCTGTTAAGCTTAGTTAGGGAGAGAATGAAACAGAGATGAGAAAATGGTGAAGAGAATATGATACATAGAAAGCCTTTCTCTGACAACAAGAGTTATAAAGTTATAATATAACAAACAAATGAAAGATTTTATATATATATATATATATATATATATATATATATATATATATATATATATATATATAGTATATTTATATTCAAATGAAATACTGAAAGTGAACATTTGGGAGTTTGTCAGAAGAGGGTCTGTAGAAACAGAAATGTAACATTGAGGGAAGACTTATAGAGAAAGAGTATAAGACGTGACTTGAAGAAACCTTGAAGTTTTTGATAATTATCATTATACAAATGAATATTAAGGCGTATTTAGTGACCCTTCAAGGCCACGTACCATTCCAAGCCTAAAAAGGAAAAAAAATGGCACCGCTCAACTACCTTTTTTTTTTAAACCTAACCATTTCGACCGTCGTAGTAAGCAAAAAAAACTATAAAACAACTGATATAAATTATACAGGCATCGCTATTATCATCGTCTTCGTCAGCGAAAAGGATACTTTACGTGTCTCTGTTGAGATAATTGAGCAGGAGGTGATACTGATTGGTTTCCTCTTGATGTCATTTCATAGATTTCAAAGTCCTGTACTTGGGACGAGGTTAGACGCTTCGTTTAGACAACATTCTCCTGTTATTAATAGAAAAATAGATTTTCTATCGTGCTACATATCAACATAAAACAACATATAACTGACAAACTCATTACAAAATATATATTTAAACGTCAGATGACTAAGGATTAGCGGCTTATTTTTCGACGCAGCCATTTCTCAGTACCTGATGGAGATATTTCTCTCATATTTTCTTATAAAGTTTACTTCCGGGTCATGGAGAGTCATCTAAACAGACATGGCCAGGTAATGAATATCGTCTTCGTCTTCCTCCTCACCCTCGGTCTCCTCCTCTTCTTCTTCTTCTTCTCCTCGGTCTTCAGTTTACTTGGAACAGTTTGTCTTTATCTTAAATGTTGAAATTGGCTTCTGATATTTCTACTTCTTCTTTCTTTCGCTTCAGTTAAGTTGTTTATATCTGCAATGTTGAATACCTACCTCTTCTTGCTTCTCCTCCACTCCTCCGCTTCCCCCTCTTCTTCGTATACTACTACTACTACTACTACTACTACTACTACTACTACTACTACTACTACTACTACTACTACTACTACTACTACTACTACTACTACTACTACTACTACTACTACTTTTTTCTTCTTCTTCTTCTTCTGTCCTTCCTCTTCAATGAATTTTGGCTCACGGCTAACTAGTTCCTAATCGCCCTGCAAATGTGAACACACACAAAAACCATCAAGCACAGTGGTTCTGGGAAGACTGAAATGAAAAGAGAACTGTTGCAATTAATAAAGGGCGGAAGAGAGAGATAGAGAAAGGTTAAATATTTCTGCGACATTAAAGGAATTGCACTCGACGGTAAACGATAGGACTACTTAGAACCTTTAAGCTGAAAGTTTGTGCTCTGCTTGTGATAAAAGATAGAACTTATTCTTGTTTTGTCGTCTTACTGTTACCAGGTTAAAGCCCAATGTCCTGGTTTTCTGTGTTTATCTTGCGCTTCTCGGGTGGTTTGGGTGATGGATTTTTTCATGTTTTTTGCAGTTTTCAGCCACACCATCTATTTATTTTTGTCATGGTCTTCCTCTAGCCTTCCCCCTAGATGTTCTGTTGTAAAGTCTCATATACAGTTTGGTCTGGCTGCAATCTCACTCGATGGCTGAACCGTTTCATATTTTGTCTGTCAGTATAATCCATACATCAAGGCTATTCAACTGGCGGCCCACGGACCAAATCTGGCCCACGGAGGCCTAGCAAATGGCCCGCGGATCATTGCCAGGTGTATTGTAATAATGATCTTTCTATTCTAAGATTTAGCCCTCTGGCCCGTGACGATCTTCATTTTCCAAATTTTGGCCATTCGGTAAACTTAGTTGAATAGCCCTGCCATACATGGTCTTTTTGGACTTTCTCTCTAATGCTGGTATTCCTAACTATGTCTCTTGTTGTGTTGTTAGTGACCTTGTAGAGACAGTGCATTTTATGTGTAGTTATTATCTGTTTTAGTGCTCTTTCAATTGTCTATGTTTAGCACCAATATCATAAAGTAGGGATAAAGATTATGTTAATCATTTGCTACTCAGCCTTCAGAGAAGAGTCGTAATGCAGTGGATACCGTCTCATTGTGGAGTGCCTGGAAATGAGAAAGCTGGTCAACTGGCAGGGGAAGGTGAGACAAAAGAGCAGCCGGATGTACCAGTCACATACCACCAAAAGAAAAGAATCATTAAATCGATCAGGAAACCACCAGCCCCAGCACAAGACGACTATTTTATTATGGACAGACCAGAACAAGTCATTATCCTCCGCCTCAGAACAGGGCACAACCAATTACGTAACCGCATGTACACACAATTCGAGATAGGTGTATCAGCCATGTGCACCTGTGGAAATGTGCCCCAGACAGCAGAGCATGTACTCCAGGACTGCACCGATTTTGACAAACCTTTTGGCCAGAAAGAACAACAGTGGGATGTAAACTCTATGGATCACTGAATGAACCAACAACGATAGTGAAATTTATACAAGAGACAAAACTGCTGACATAGACAACTTATTTCAGGCGAACGAAAGAAGAAGAAGACAACATAGGCAGTGCTTAGTGTTATGTGTTTTCCCAGCGGCTCTCAACTTTTTCCATGCTGACATAAGACCGAGTTTTTTCAGGCAGACCGTGCTGAGAGTCAAGTTCTACAAAGGACCTGCTGCATGATGATAATGAAGACGATACGGTTATTAGTAGTACATTTTACTCCACCTGGACATCACACAAGCGGTAAACACCCGATGACACAAAGTGCCACCATGCGGATGAGGACCACCCGTGGAGAGGTCCCGGAAACCGCGTTCAGCCATTAGACCATATTTATGGTCGGGCTATATTGCGGTCCCCGGCAAGAGCCGGAGTAGGGCTATACCAATAACGAAAAATTGCATCCCACAAATAATAACGTCAAGATTGATACATTGATAGTCAATACCTAACCAATTGAGTTCTAGCGGTCTATGCGGGTAATACACAATTACAGCATGTCTGAACGTGTTAAAAAGGGGTGTTTAATTATTGAGGCCACTCCAGTTTTCTCCCTTCTCACCACATGATCAAAAAATGTTGATCGCAGAGACGCCAACACGAAGAAAACATCAGGGGGGAAAAGTGGTTGTGGTGGAAAAGAGAGGGGGGGGGGGGCAGTCAGCTCCCTTTTAAAATGTTATACGAGATGAAGCCCTCAAATGACAAAAGCCTTATTCAAGTGTTAAACTCCGGCGGAAATTCTGGTTGTTTGTCCACTTCTAGACTCTAGTTCTGTTCCAGAAACTAAGTGTTGGGTCCACATCTATTTTAAAGGTCTGACTCATTTGCATGCAGACTGTTGGTTCCTTGCCTCTCAAGCAGATGTACTCCGACTTCGAAAGAGGCTCCTATTTAGGTGACTCTTACATTATGCTTATGGGTAGGCACTGGGTCTATTCTTGTTTTCCCCCACAATAAGACCTCGGAATCCACACGAGGATTTTTAACTATGATACTGAGACTAATGTGTTGTATGCACTTAAATATATATTTTATTGAAAATAATGTATGTATTGAAACCAAAACCTTCAAAAGAGAACTTCTTTCTCTAACTATTTTTCGAGGGGAAGAGAGGGCGGGGCAGCACTAAGTTCTCTAAAAAAATTGGGGGGGGGGGGTTGTGTCCTAAGTACTTTAGCACTATAATAAATTTATTAGATAAGACTATTTAAAATGTGGGGCCTGTGGCGCAACGGATAACGCGTCTGACTACGGATCAGAAGATTCCAGGTTCGAATCCTGGCAGGCTCGTGTATTTTTTAAATGGTATTTTTATTTTTTTGAAATATTTTCTATAAAATATGTTTTATTTAAGTAATATTGATTTTTCTGAGATTTATTTATTGAAGTGTTGATAAATTTTTTTTACAGGTTGGCTAGGTGGTTTGTTTTTTTAAACAGTATTTTATATTTTTTGAAATATTTCCTATAAAATATGTTTTATTTAAGTAATATTGATTTTTCTGGGATTCGTTTATTAATGAAAAAAAAATATTTTTACAGATTGGCTGCGTGGTCTCGAGGCATAGTGTCCGCCTAGAGGTCCTGGGTTCAGGCCCCATATATAACCTAACGTTTGAACGGGGTTTCAGGGACTCATACATGGGGGATTCCCATCTGAATGGTGCTACTTTGTGTCACCAGGTGTTAATCTCTCGTTGTGCGGTCCTGGTGAGGTTGAATGTCACTCACATCCGAGCTTTGCTTAAAAAAAAAGTCACGTTCAACGAGTATTCCCGAATAAGGAGCTTTCAGGTTATATTTGTGACTAGGTTAAGTGCGTCAGATAAAATGGCTTAGCACTGCATGCCACAAAGAGCTCTACAAAGCCGTGTTGATGCGATCAAAAGCCGACTCCACCAAGACCCGAACCCGCGACCTTCCGATTCGCAGGCTAGCGTTTAACCGGTACACCACGGCGGCTCCCATGCAATTTTGGAGGGGACACAACACACCTACAAGAAGACCGAATGGCAAAACAAATGGCTGTTCTTGAACAGCACAACCTCGAGAATGCGAGAGATCGTATGTAGAGAAAGTGGCTAGGGCACTGGTTCTGGTCTCGATCTTCCTAATACCGCCACCGCTTATTACAGTTTCTCGTGTTGTGGCAACCTCCAGCCAGACGACTTTTTTTGTCGCTACTTGATAACTTTAATGAATATGAGTTTTGCGATGGTCTTTAGCGACCTACGTGAAAGGGTCGTTCGACCCCAAAAAAGGAGTCGTAACCCATAGGCTGAGAACCACTGGGCTAAGGTGACGTTTAAACAAATGTAGTCCCTACAAACGTCCCTACAAAATTAACAGGGATTGTGACCATTCACCCAATGCCTGAGGAAATCGGATGTGTCGACTGAAAGGGACAAACAGGGCAGCTCGACTGGAACAGTGTTGCCACTTTGGATGTTTTACATCCAGATTTAGATGTTTTCCCTTGCATTTAGATGGCGTTTTCGACGTTTAGATGGTAGATGATTTTTTCTAGATGTTTTCATTTGGAGTGAATTTATCAAATCTAACCTAAGAAACAGGATGAAATTTGACCTCTTAAATGCTATCTTGACAATAAAATTCGGCCTGATAAGAGTAAGATAAGGCTGTTCCACTTATCAGCTCCCTGATTGGGTATTAAAAGAAACTGGAATAGCTAAAGCATACAGAGTCATTTTGGATCTGAAGCGTCAACGTCATCATGCAAGCTAAGTTTATCCTGTGGATCTTGTAAGGCTGACTTCAGTTAATATGAGGACATGATTCTATAGGGTAACTGCTATGTAATTTGTGACTTCCCATTTGGATGTTTTTTCTAGATGTTTTCCACGCAAATTTAGATGTTTTTAGATATTTTTTGTCAAAGAAAAGTGGCAACACTGGTGTCGACTGCAAGGGACAAACAGGGCAGCTCGACTGGAAACAGCC